GATTTCATCCTCCCATTGGTTCAGAGACCAAGCAGACTGAGGGTCACACACTCCACAGTCAGCGGGGTACCCGGGCCCCTTGCGTGCTCGTTTGCCCATAGCACCTACACAAGATGGGCTGCTGTTGCTAAGTATGGAAGCTGGGGAGTGATTCGATTTGATTTATTTCACGTGGGCTGGAAGAATCTAGTCAAAGCTTTATCGTTTATAAGGCACTTTGCATACACAGTTCTCTGATTAGCTCTCACAGTAGCTCCTGGAGGAAGCCATTACTGTTCCCACTTACAGATGAGCAGACTGAGGCCTGAAAGGGATAAAAGGGGCCGCCCAGGTCACATCTAGGAAGTGGCAGATCAGAGCTCAGGCAGGGAGGTCTGATTACGATAGCGCAGCGTTCACATCGTCAGGGGTGCTGGGTCTCCCCCTGCCTCCCAGGAGAGAGGAGGCAAGACCCCAGGAGCCAGGTCTCTTGTTCAGCACCCCCTCCACCCAGCGTGATTTAGGCAGCTCGCCCTCAACTACTCGGGGCCTCTTCCCCAGCAGACGTGAGTTCACGGGCTCGGGGTGGCCAGCCTGAGGGTGGGCATCTGTCCAGCCCCTGACAGGGAATGAGCCAGGGACAGGGGGGCAGACAAAGGAAGTGGCAGTGCCACATAACAGGGGATGGAGACAGGACAGGATCCTGGCCCAGCCGTTGACAAGCGCCCGCGGGGGCTGCCTGTTGCGTCTGACTTCCTGCCCCATTGTTGGGGCCACCCGGGCTCACAGAAAAGAAGATTGGGAACTGCCAGGCCTAGGGGCTTCATTCATTGGGAGTGTTTTTGTAACGCAGCAGCCACAATCCCCTTTGTCTGCAGTACCGCCAGGATCCCAGAGAGCCTCGGTGCTGGGAAGTCCCAGGTCGAAAGGGAATGGACTCTGCTTTCTTAACAGTGGCTTCCAAGGCTGAGCTGTTGACATTCCAGAAACTGAGGATGAGGACAGGGTAGCAGCTGGGATGCGGTCAGGTCGGGCTGATTTCTGGCCCTACTTTCATGCCCCACCTCGGACGGGACAGCAGTCTGGGACTTGCCCCTGCTTTGCTACTTTAACATTGGACATCAAGGGAGAAAAGACTCTCGAGAGGTCTAGAGAATACACCTGAGGCTTTGGGGCCCGGCCCAGCCCTCCATTCATTCCCTGCGGACCTCAAGGCTGATGGAGGTGAGGTTGTGGGTGTAGACGCTGGGAGTTTCGGGTGGGGCCTGGGTGAGCCACTGAGGCGAACCTTCTCTCCAGCCTGCCTGCCTCCCGGGTTTTGGGCCAGCCAGCAGGCTCACAGCGTTTTGTGTGTGGCAGTTTGGTCTCGTGAAAGACCCTAGAATCTTGTGTTTGTTTGTTTTTCCTTTTGAAGCCGGAAAGATTGCCTGTGGCTAGCTATGTGGCCTTGGACGTATGTCCAAACCTCTCAAAGCCTCAGTTTCCACATTTGTAAAACGCACACCAACAATTATGCCTCCCCTGCAGGGTGGCTGTATTAGAAAGAGGGTAATGCTTGCAGAGTGACCTTATGCTTGCTCAGCGCATAGTAGGTCCTCAACAGATGGTAGCAATATGGCTTTACTGTCCAGAAGCCAGTGCCAGAGTCTTTCCTGAAGCTGCAGTGGGGATGTGGGTGCAGAAAGCAAGGTCAGTCCTAGGAGCCTGCACCGGCTGGGTGTCCTGCCATCTGTGGCTTGGGTCAAAGCCACCAGCTGCCGGTCAGGAATTCCCCCCTTAATCTCTGTCAGGCCTCAGGAGCCCCATGCCCCTACCTCCTCCTAGAAGTTTCTAGAAACTCTTTACCTGACAGTATGAATGGGTCATCTTTCTGCCTTAGACCGTGGAGGAAGGGGAGGCAAGTTTTGTGTGATTATTCTCTGCTGAACCCAAGCAGGAATGCTATCCAGAGACCCTAAACAAAAGACCCCCCCCCCCCCGCCCCAGGGGTCTGTGAGATAAATCAGCAGGACAGCGGGGCCACAGCCTCTTCCCAAGCCTGCCTTGCTTGGCAGAGGCTGATGGGTGGTGGCAAGTGCCCTCACTGTGTTTGCGATCACGTCGGAAGCCCTCGCCCGTCTGGCTTCCATATGGTGAAAGAGTTTGCGGTCTCTTGTCGGCACAGACGCCGGGCACGGCTGAGGCAGGCAGGGCTCTTGCACATGGCAGCAGTGAGCTCCCTAGGTGAGGTGCAGGGGAGGTGTGGCCCGTAGGCCAAGGGAGCCGCACCCCGGTGAAGTGGAGAGAGGCCCGTTTTCACGCCGCCCCCTGCCAGGGGTGTGGGAAGGGTGCTACTCTGCCTCCTGGACCAGCTGCCTGCCCATGAGGCCACCATGCGGGGAGGTTGCGCCTGAGAAATGCGCCAGATGCCTTTGACCTCACAGCACTCGGGAGCCCTCCCTGGGGCGTGAGAGAGGGCGGAGATGTGGCGGCCCGTGTGCCGGCTCCCCTGGAATCCGCACCGTCTCGCCCACACGGATGCCACCCTGGAGTGAGGCCCACTTACCAAAGACAGATGGCTGGGTCCCCTCCACCGAGGCGCAGCGCCACACTGACATCTGCAGAACTACATGTGCCGTCTCCCTCCCTGGGAAGGCTCCGCGACAACATCCTAGCTGGGCCCCGCCTCCGCCCCGAAACTGCTTGAGCCCCAGTCAACTGAGCCCCGCCCCAGGAAACTGCTCCTGGGTAGAAAATCCTCCTGTGAAATGGTTGTCTTTTTATCTGGGAAGTATTTTCTTTTTCTGAAGGGCACCCGTTGCCAATACCCAAGCCGACTCGAGCTTCCAGGAATGAAAGACGAAGCGGGTCCCCATTTCCCGAGCTCGTTTGCCTGCGGAGAGTTGGGCCAGATGCCCTGGACCTCGTAGCACTCGGAGGCCCCTGGGAAGAACTCTGGAGCCCTGCAGAGAGTTCTGGAGTGAGAGCAGACCCCTGAACACACGTTAGCAGCCAGAGGGCTTTGCCTCCCGGAGTGAGGAACCTGCCACACGTTTACCAATTCAAAGAGTTCTGTCGTGGGCCCCTGTGCTGAGGGATGGGACATGCCCGTGAGCGGAAGTCTCTGTCTTCGAGAAACTATAGTCTGGGGAGAAAGCAGGCACAAGTGAGACCCTGACAAGTAGGGTACGTGCCGTGCAGGTGCGGAGGGCCTGCTTCAGGGTGGGCAGAGGCCTCCCACTGCCTGGGCGGACGGCGGGAGCCAGGGGCTGTGCTTTACCGAGGCACCCTGACACGACGGTGACCGGATGTCTCGGTTCGCCTGAGCTGGTTCCCGCTTGCACCTGCTGTCCCGGCGTCCTTGGCAACGACACTCCTTTTTCCCCTCAATAGTGGTCCAATCTGGGTGACAAAAGACGGGGCTATTGTGCCTCAAACTCCTCATCCCTAAGATGAGGGGGATGAGGAAGAGCGCAGAAAGTAGAAGACCAGGGCCAACTCTCTACGCTGAGTGACAGCGGAAGGTACCGTGTAGGAGCTCGGGGGCTGGGGGACACTGCCAGGGACTGCATCCCAGCTCTGCCTCTTACCCAGGTGCGTCGTTGGGGGCAAGTTACTTCACCTCTCCAGCCCTCAGTTTCGCCGTGTGTAAAATGGGATAATAGTACCTGCTTTGTGACACAGAGAGGAGGATCGAAGGAGTCAAGAGATGTGAAGGGCTTGAAATGGTGCCAGGAGCTTAGCGTGCTCTGTAGATGCTAGCTCTTCGTGTTTCTCTGTTTTTTCCTGGAGCCTCTTTTTTTGTTTTCAGGAGCCAAACCAAGATGCCCCAGTATTCACACGACTGGCCTCCTGCCCCAGTGCCCACTTTGTGGCTCCCATGGAGCCTGATGGGCAGTCACCGGGAAGAGGCAGAGAAATTGCTCACAGCTACTCCTGACTTGGTGTGTTCTAAATTTATATCCATATGCGTATCTGGGCAAGTACAGGGCTTTTTAGCACCTCTAATCCGTAACACGTGAGTTTTAATAAGAGCAGTGTATTTCCCCCTCAGAAAGCCCTGAGCTCTGCCTCTGACAGCGGTCCCTTGACCCCACGGGGAGACTCTGCCGTGGGTCAGCCGCTCCAGGTCCTGAGGCGGAGGGGCCGGTGGAGAAGATAGGCCTGGGGGTCGGAGGAGAGATGCTTTCCCCACTGTGACTCCAAGCTAGGCCAGACCATTCCGGTTTACCAAGCAATTCTAGAAAACTAATTAGTCCAAGATGTGAACCGGACTAGAATTGCTTCCTTTGTGCTGCAAGTAGCATCTGACTCTGGTGGGACAGCAGTGGGTTTTTCCTTCCTGGACGGTTTGGCCTGGTGTTTGAGGCCACAGCGGCTCTCAGAAATGTTAGGCAACCTGTGGTGAAGGCCTCAGAGCCGGCATGGGGGAGCCGGCCTTCTCCCAGAGAAGAGCTGCATTCGATTGGACAAAGCTTGGCCTCTGAGCCGGTTCCTGATGGTGCCACTCTGCAGCCCCAGCCCGGACGGCCCGGCGGGGAGGGACGTGGGAGCAGTGCGTGCAGCAGGGAGATCACCCTGTGCAACCCCACGGCTTGGCGGGGGCCCCAGCTGAAGGTGGGGCGAAGTCAGGGGAAGAATTTAGGGCTGAGGGTGGGAGACATTCTGGCGGGCCCCTGTGAGGTTCCTCGCCCGTACTAAGGGTGCACGCAGGCAGGGTGGGCTGGGCGTACTGGGCAATGGGGAAATCTCATTAGAGAGGGAGCCTGAGGCGGCGTGGACCTCCCCAAGCCCTCCCGGCCCCCAGAGCCGGGCCCGCACCCGAGCCCTCCGTGCTCCCTGCCAAGAGTGGAAGTGAAGAAACCACAGCCCGGTTTTCCCAGGGCTGAGCTCAGGCCAGGTCTTGAGGCCCTGCCCGGCCGGTGGGCACGTCCGCGGGGCTGCCCGCGTGCTCATATCCGCCTCCTCGCAGGTGGGCACGGGGGGGAACATACCTGCCAGTTGCGGACAGAAGCACAAGGCTTTCTCGTGCCCAGGGCTTGGGTCGCACAGCCTCCAGTTACGGGCCTGTGCCCCTCTGCCAACCTGCCTCTCTCTCTGAGGCTGCTGCCCACCTCCGGGAAGAACAGAGCCCGCTTTGAGCTGGAAATTAGAGTCGTTTCCTGTTCCATGTTGTTAAGACACTGCTTACAGGGCTGTAATCCCAATAAATCATATGCTTGCTGAGTGGGGCAGGGTTTATTTTATTTTTTTTTTTTTCCAGGCTGCAGGGACCTCTTAAAACCAAGACTTAAGAAGTTTATTCTCTTTCGTTTTTTTTTTAAGGGGGAAAAATGGCTTTTGCAGGCCCAGCCCCGTCAAAGGGCCTTATGAGATCCTTGGCTTGATATACTCAGGCTCAGGTATATGATTCATTTAAAGAGATATGAGGAGAAACTGAGTCATGACACGTGGATCCGGTCTCCCCGTTGCTGCTGGATGAGACACTTGGCCTCGTGGGGTTTCTATTTCCTCCCCTAGCAACTAAGAGGACTTGGTCAGGCAGTTCCCAGCCTCTCCACGTAGAAGCCCCGTTTATACTGGTGCGTTTCCTGAACATTCCCAGGTGACGGTAGTGGCTGTTTTATGCACAGAAAGACACACACTGCCAGTCAATGACCCTTTTAGGTGGCTTGGTTTGTCACAGCAGCAACCCCACCTGATGTGTGTGTGTGTGTTCATGCGGGTGATGGTTTTAAGGTTAGGCCACCAACAGCACTTGGGGCGGCCAGGGGGGTGCAGGTCCCTGGCGGTAATTCCATGCCCGCCTCCCACCTCACACGTTCGTGAGTCTGTGTCCCTTGCTGTCACCCCGTCCCCTGTGTGAGATCCTTGACTGCCAAGGCCCAGAACCTGCACTGCCAGAAACAGCTTCCGGATCCCACTCGACATGCTGGTTGCATTTGTTTTGTCTGTTTTATGAGCTGGGATGGAGTGGGTGATGGGCAGTTTGCTGGCAGGCTTTTGCAAGCTTTGCGTGTTTATACTTGCTGGAGGGCCGGGGGAGGGGAGAGTTGGCTGGACTTGAAGAAGGCCACGGCTGAGGCATTTAGTAGGACCAGATTCCTCTTGGCTTTTTTGCTAGTATGTGTTTTCTCTATCAGCAGATACTAACGTAGTACTAATAGTTAACCTCTACTGAGAACTTGGCGTGTGCCAAATGCTGTGCTAAGCACTTCGCATACATGCTTCTTGTGAGGCGGTCCTATTGTCTATACCCATTTTGCTGATGGCACAGCTGAGGCTGAGAGTGGGGTAACTTGGGCAGGATCATGACTGAATTCATTGGGAGGGACACCGGATCCCAACCCAGGAGGTCCTCTCTGGAACCCACGGTCTTGATCACTGCAGATACATACAGCTATTGTCATGTGGAGTCTAGGAGACCGCAAAAGAGATTCTCACAATGGAGAAAACATCTAGAAGCTACTGACATCCCTTCTTTAATAGGAACACAGGCCCAAAGAGTGTACTGATCTACCCCGGGTTCTAGAGTCAACGCACCGGCTTCCAGGACAGGGAGGCTTTCTCCCAGCGAGGACACTGCGGGGCAGGGGGTAGGAGCCTCAGTTCGCTGGGCCAGGCAGGTGCATTCAAAGCATACACGATTGTGGAAATGGCCAGACCCTGTGCCGCCAGAGGCAGAACCCCAGCGTCGTGCTCGGCCCAAGAGCAGACTTGTCTTAAGGTAGTGAGGCTCGAAGTGTGGTCTGGGAACCCCTGGGGTCCTGAGACTTTTCAGGAGTCTACAGAGTCAAAATTATTTTCCTAATAAGAAGGGGTTATTTGCCTTTTCACCCTCATTTCCCCACAAACGTCCAGGGGAGCTTTCTAGAGGCTGTGTGACGTGTGATAACGGTATCGCGGATGGCTGATGGGGGATGTGAACTTGCATGTTCAGATGTTTCAACATTTTCTGTTCCGATTTCTGATACAGTAAATAGTGGTAGGATAACGCACATAAACAAAAGCTCTTTGGAGGCCTCAATAATTTGTAAGAGTACAAAGGGCGTCCTGTGACCAGAACACTCCAGAACGACTATTGAGAGGTACTGGACCCAGCGAGGGGGAAACCTGGCCACAGAGTGGCAGCACAAAGGGGGTTCCTTCAGCCCTGCCCCCTCTCCCTGCCTCGGGCACAGCAGATGCCCGCCCTAGCCATGAAAGGCTTGTGGCCAAGCTCAGTGTAGAAGAACGGCAAGAGGGGGGAAACAGCCTTTTTCTTTGGGAGGGATAAAAGCTGGAGACCCTGAGGACAATGCAGATGTCAGTCATTCCTAGCCTTGCTCCTCTGGAGCCCTTTCACCCTGCAGTTAGGATGTAGCCGCCGCCAGTACAGATGGGAGTTTTTATAGGGATTTTCCAGAATGTCCAGAAATACAGGCCAGCTTCTCAGCATGTTCAGTGGGTGAGATGAAATTACCAGAAAGGAAATAGGAGCCTGGAACCCACAGGTTAAGGGAAGGATGTTACTGAGTAAGTCCATGCATTGCTTGTCATTTTATCTTCTCTTGGACCACAGGGTCAAGGGGTAGGCCAAGGAAAAGAGCCTGAAGAGGTCAGTTTGGGGGCTGGTACTGCCTTGTTTGTGGACAGGTGGATGCCAGCCACTACCCCAGAGGCAGAGGGACACTCTTAACCCTGGAGGATTTCTGTATGTTGAGAATATCAGCCAGTGTTCAATTCAGGAACCAGAAACCACTCTAGATATTTTAAGCAGAAAGGGATTTAATGCAAGGAATTAGATGCCAACAGAATCATTAGAAGGGCTCAAGGATCGGGCTCGAGGACAAAACCGAACCCATCCAACCAAGGGGACTGCTCCCTCTGAGACGTTCCCTGGAAATGCAACTCAGGACTGAAGCTGCAATCAAGAAATCTTTGTCGTCACTTTCAGTAACACTACCACTGCCTTTGAAGCACTCAGGAAGGTGGAAAATGGACACTGGAATGTTGTATGAGAAAAGAAAAAATAGACCTCATGCTTCATGACCTGGCTTGCTACCAGAAACAGGCAAAGGGGGCACAGGTATGGCCTCTGTCTCACATCCATTTACCAGATCTCATGGAACTACATGTTAATGGCAAAACCTAATTTGCATCCAGAACCCCAGCCGCAAGGGAGTCTGGGAAGTGTAGTTTTCAGCTTTTTATGTCTCCAACAAAGACAGCAAAATGGAGGCTGAATGAGCCAATCCCCAATACCTGCCCACCAAAGTTATTGATACTGTTTTCTTCATGTGCTGAGTTCTAAGAGGCACAGAGCATATGAATCATAACACCATCTGATTAGACTTGGTGATTCCCCAAGTTCCCTCTTGGATTTCCCCTAGTGCAGCTGGGAGATGCCACTTGGAGCTTCAGTGACCGTACTTGGCACTTGGTCTTGGCTGTTGGCCACAACAGGGAAGAATGGCTGGCAAATCCATGAACTATCTTTTCATTTATACTTCAGTCCCAGTGCTGGTGGTTTAGATAAAGCCTTCCCCTTGGATCCAAAGGACTGTTATATATAGAAACATGTCTCTGAGTTTGCCTTCTAGCATTGCAATGCAAGAATTGGAAAATCCAAGAATATTTACAGAGAATTCAAATGGGCATATATAATCAAGAAAATTGTTATAAACAGAGGAGTAGTGCACAAATGGCTTGTTGTTTCTTCCTACATTCTACAGGCTTCTTCCATAGAGCCTTGGCTTTCCCACTCTAGCAAGTCAACACTGTGCCCATGAAAATTACATGCCATTCTTTTCTGGGCAAAAATAAGAGTTGGTCCAGAATTAAAAACTTAAGACGCATCGTAGTAAGTTCCTGAAGCTCGGCCATACTTTTAGTCATTCAGCCAGCGTTTATTGAGGACCTATTATGTTCAGGTCCCATGCTGGGGATATTTGGGAGTACACAGACATGAGCAAGCCATCGTTTTTGTCCCGAGGCGGAATAGTCTACTCAGGAAGATGAGACACATCCAATGATGGAAGAGCAAGTTCTAAGGGATCTTGGATCTTGGAGTGGGAGGGCTTCTGGAAAGAGGTGGTACTGGAACTGAGCCTTGAAGGGTAAACAGGATTTAGACGGGCCGAGGCGAGAGCAGATTCATTCTCTTGAGGAGGTAGGAAGGGCAGGTGCCTGCTGGTCTGCTGTGTCCTGGTGAATGTTGTGAGCCAGGACTGGAAATGGGTTGGGGTGAGGGCACCCTTGAAGCCAGGGCCAGCCAGGCTTCCTCAGCCCGTAACTCGTCCTCACCACTGCAGTTACTACACTTGGACCCTGATACATTTTCTGAAATGACAGAGCCCAGAATGTCAAAATAGCTTCCCAGGTAACCACCTGCAGGGTTACATCTGGTTTAATTTTGTTTAAAAAATAAATAAAAGCATCGTTTGTCCTCAATGAGAGAAGCTCTTAAAATTTTGACAATATCCTAAGCATTCGGAAACCTGAGACCAGAGATCTGAGGGTCTCAACGTTGATTCCCTGCAGTCGACTGACTTAGTGACTGAAAAAGGAGAATGGAAGTCTTTTTCCCGGTCACAGTACCTCTCTGCATGTCTAGGAGTAAGATGGTGGTGACAGCAGAGGCCTAATGCTCCAGGAGCCCAGGACGTCGGAGGGCGTGGGGTGCGGAGGCATCAGGAGGGCGGGGAGCACGCACAGGAACAAGAGGTGGACTCAGGCTGTCATTAGAGAGAACAGCCACAAGGGGCAGCGCGCCAGGGCTGCCTCACCCTTGTGACCAGGCAAGGAATGTTGTGGGCAGAGCAGGCTGGTTGTCCATCGAGTCATAAAGCTGAAAACTGGCTGTCAGGGCCGCCCGTGGCAGTGAGATCCACTGGACTGTGAAGTGGTCTCCCCAGGAGGTCTTCGCCATGGGAGACTTGCCAGAACTCACGGAGGACAGGAGGGTAGGACAGGAGGAAAGCCGCTCTCGGATGAAATGTAGATCCAGCACGATGGGGGTGGGAGGGCCTGGGGCAGGGAGAGGGCAGGCCCCTGCGTGGAGGTGCAGCTGTATTGCCCAATGCCCCCGGGCACCAGTCACATGCCTTGTGCATGGCGCCCCCTGGTGACACAGGGAATACCTTGGGAATGGTGCCCCCTGGAGTTTGCAACTCAGAGGCCTCAGGAGCAGAAGTCTCTCCCTGCTTCCACCTAGCTCCCCACGTCGCTGTGGCCGTGGGTTCTTCGTGTTGGGCCCCGAGACTCTTCCTCCCCGTAGGACTTGGAGCAGAGGCAGCTCTGGCCTGTCATAGGAAGTGACGTGGGGCCCACCTCAGCCCAGGTGCAGGTTGAGGAAGGAATGACGTCAACTATGCACGTGTAGTGTGAGCCACATCATCTGACACAGCTTCACGACAGCCCTGAGAAGCAGGTGTTACCCCATCTCACAGATGCAGGGAGCAGGCCCGGGCTGTGTTGGTGGTGATGGAACACAGCTGCTAACGGCAAAGCTGGGTTGGGGGCCCGCCCGGGTCTGTTGGACTCTGTCCCCTGCACGCACCCACCACCCGGGAGGCAGTCTCTCCCTTCTGCAGACCGAGACCCGGAGACCCCATCTGAATTCTTTGGGGAAGGGGGATGGGAGCTCCCAACTTGACGCACCGGCAAACGCCTTGTTTCATTGGTCACCTCAGGCCCTCAGTTCCACACGTGGCCTATGATGGGAATTTCTCCCGACCCAGGACAGTGTCTGTGGAATGGGGCACACTGGGGTCTCAGCGAGGAGAGGGAGCCAGCCCCCTCCACACCTCTCAGCCTGAAGGTTACGGGTGACCGGCCTCTACAGCCGTTCGCTGAGCGTGCGTGGGAGGGGGCCCCCCACCGGCCTGACCCTCTCTCTCTGCTGCCTCACAGGCCCTTCATGCTGCTGCCGCCACTGATGGAGTGGATGCGCGTGGCCATCACCTACGCGGAGCATCGCCGCAGCCTCACCGTGGACAGCGGCGACATCCGGCAGGCCGCCCGGCTGCTGCTGCCCGGCCTGGACTGTGAGCCCCGGCAGCTCAAGTACGGACCTGGGGAGGAGTGAGGCTGAAGGGCTTGGGCTCCGCGCCGGGCTTCCCTCGCCCCTCCCGCTCCTGGAGGTTGGGAGGGCCCCCCCACCCCCTCACCCCCCCACCCCCCCACCCCCCCACCGTGGTGCCCCTGCATGACCACGCCTGTCAGAACTAATCACTCCCGACCTTGGCTGCTTTCTGGGTTCATCTTCTAAAGCCGCTGGTCAGGTGCACAGAGCAGACACGTGTTTGGGTTTGGACAGGAGAGCTCTCACAGTCTGGCTCTTTGGGATATTTGGGCACGAGCAGCAGAGGCGGGTCCCTCTTCTTCTCTGTTCCTGTATTTGCCACTGCTTTCCTGAACTCTTCCCGGTGTAGGCGCTGGGCTGAGCCCTTCCTTTCCACATGTGTTATCTTGGGCCTCAGGACAACTTTAGAGAAGGGGGTGCTGTAAAGCCCATATTACAAATGGAGAAACTCAGCTAGCAAAGCGGCCTTGCCTAAATTTGAACCCAGGTCTATATGGCCCAGGCCGTGGCTCTTAATGTCCTTCCCAGCATGGCCATCTTGTATTGGACTGGTCTCCTAAAGTTGTCTGAAGAATGGTTTCTGTGGCTACTGTTCTTTGAGAGCCTTGCATATTTTCTTTCTTTTTTTTTTTTTTTTTTTTGACCCTCTGCCCCAACCCCAGTTATAGTTATAGCCTCCTCTGTCTCCACGGCAAATTCCCAAAGTCATTCTGGGACGTGAACTTTCCACACTTAGGTCCAACCAGGGCTCCAGGCTGAAGCCACCTATGGGAAGCCTGTCCCGCGCCCTCTTGTAGATGTGGTTTTTAATCCATGACCCTCCCTGGTAGGATGGCTTGATGGCAGTGGGCTTCTGGGCCATTCTCCACCATCTGTTTGGTAATTCTGGGCCTCCTCGGGAGGCCTTCAGGAGAGAGGGCGTAGAGCCAGGAACTGGAACTTGGCCACAGTGGCCATCCCGTAGGCCGGGTGCAGCCTTCTCCCCGCAGGAAGTTCACTGCCAAGTCCACACCCCGACTGGAGCTGCTTCCTCCTCAGGCTGAACCCCTGGTGGGTTATTTCTGATGGGACCTGGTTCCCTGATGGTGGACAGCTCTTCTGTGTCGTGTGTGTAGAAGAACGGAAGTATGGACGCTTGGCAGCATGGCGCACGCCAAGGCCATTCTTTGCCGATCCAATAGCGATTCCCGTCCTTCCCATCCACCCTGTCATCCCCCGCCTCAGCCTGGCGTAGCTGTGCCACGTCTCCTTGAGGGGCAATGTTCTAGCCAAAAGTGTCACACGCGGTCACACTCACACACCTGTGGGTCTTTTCTGCACACTGCACAGACCCGAGTGCTGTTTCAGCTCCTTCCGGAGGCTGGATGCCCGAGCGGCTACCGAAAAATTCAACCAGGACCTGGGTTTCCGCATGCTCAACTGCGGAAGGACAGACCTCATCAACCAGGCGATCGAGGCCCTGGGCCCGGACGGGGTGAACACTATGGACGACCAGGTGCGTGCGGAGAGCTCCGCTAGCCAGGCGTAGGGCATAGAGTCGGGGCCTCGTCATTGCCGGGTGGTGGCCCAGTCCTTCTGTCCCAAACCTGAGAGCCGCTCATCTCTGTGCTGCTGACAAACGGGCGGCCTCCCAAATCACACCCTGCCTGTTCCTGGTGAGACGTCAGCTCGAGGACCTTCCTAGCACCCCTTGGAAAACCCTTGTAACGGAGGTTCTGCCTCCACTGTCTGGAGGGCTGGAGGCTGTCCCAGATGGCGCAGGGCTGGGACAAAGTCCAGAGGAGTCAGCTGGATTTCCAGCTTTGGGCGTCAGTCACGAGGGTGTGCTTTAGGGCACCTCGTGCGCCTCCCGCGTGCCAGGCCCGTGGAACCCGCCGCCTTGGTGGCAGTAGCAGGCAAACATGTGCTAGGAAATAGAAATGTCCAATACAGAGCAGATTCGTGAAAAGTGCTAAGGAGTAAAATCGAGCTGGAAAAGGAAGTGTTGGAAGTGACTTATAATTTTAGATAGACTTTAACTTGAAGGTTTTTTTTTTGTTTGTTTACTTTATTGTTTTTGCTCTGAAGAGCTCACATTTATAGAGCTCACTGCTATGTTCCAGGCACTGTTCAAAGCACCTTGCACAGATGAACTCATTCAATCTTGACAGCAGCCCTGTGATGTCTGTACTATCATTATCCCCATTTTACTGATGAGGAAACTGAGGTAGAGAGAAGTTGGTTTACCCAAGGTCACACAGCTAGCAAGGAGCAGAGCTGGGCTTACAAGCCATCTGACTCCAGGCCCTTCGCCACAAGGCACTCTCCGGTTTGTTTATCTGACGCGGCCTTGTGAGTCCTTGCCATGGAGGTGACAGCACTGCAATTTGGAAGGCCACACGGAAACGTGCGGAAGGCGCAGTGACAGCGGAGGGCTTGGGTGGAATGCTCTCCCACGAGATGACAGCACAGGACAGGGCGGGCTGATGTGCCAGGTCAACCCCAAGGCCGGGTGGCCCTGGACTGGTGATGGGTCAGGTGGAGTGGCGGGAGAGGCGGTCCCCTGGAGGAGTCCAAGCCCAGCCAGAGCCAGGAGGACCTTGCCTTGGGAGGAGCAGGGGGATGAAGCATAGAGCAATGGGACAGGCACTCCCGGGACAGGAGATGACCCGGAGAGCAAGAGCACGGAGGTGGGGCAGTCAGGACACCTGCTGGGGTAGGGTCAGGGAAGTGCCGAGGCAGGGCAGCGGGGAGGTGACAGGCTGGGCGTCAGATCTCCCTGGGGCACCTCTGTCAGCACAGGTCCCAGGGCCTTGCAGGAGCTTTTGTCCTGGGGCATCCTCTTCCTCCTCGGGGCGCAGGGCCGTCCACCCTGTCAAAGCCCTGGCGTCTCGGACGGGCTGCCTCGCCCCCAGCAAAGGGGGCCGGCGGTGCCTGCCCCGTAGGGTTAGGGGACACGTCCGCGTCAGGCACGTAGTTAAGGCTCAGTAATGTTCGTTCTGGGTCCTGTTGTCCTCGCGAGGACGACAGCGGTTATCTGTGAGCGCTGGTCACCAGCCGTCTTCCTGTACCTGCCTCGGGGATGGGGCTGACAGTTGCTTCTCACAAGACCCCCCGACTTAAATGCTGAACCGTGCACAGATGTGTGGGGAAACAAGAAGTCGAGCGTGTGCAGCAGGGGCTGAGACAAAGCCCGAGCCTCACTCTGCAGCGCTTGGCTCCTCTCTAAATGCTCGATCCTGTTGTTCCCTCAACCTTGGTATTTATAGAATGATCTGTGGGTAAACAGCCCTCTCGCCCATGACTAATGTCAGGCCATTTCTTTATCTCTGGGCACTAGGCAAGGATTTATGAGGTAAGGAGATCTTGTCTACACACAAATAACCTAATAAATAACATCGCAGGGCTCCAGACAAACGCTTGCCAGGATCCAGCTGTGGAATAACACTTTCCACTGCTGTCTTTGCTATTACTGGCCACGGAGAAAGATTCCCAGCCAGGAGGCGGCCCCACGAACCGTCCGCCCAAACGCAGGGAGGGACTGGGCCTCAGCTTTCGGAAAAGCGCTGACTTGCTCAGTAGCACGAAGTGGTCAAGGCAGAGCCCTCTCCGCCCTCCGTGCGCAGCCCCGGAGCGTGAGCTTCACAGCTCAGGCGGGTCTGGTTCCAGGGCCAGCCCTTCCTCCCGCACCCTGTGTGACCTTGCCTTGGGTCTCTCTGTGCCTCGTCTGTACAGTGGGGATGAGAATAGAGCCTCCCTAACAGGGATATTACGGTGACTAAATGAGACGCTGCATGTGAATCACTTCGCAGGGCGATGAGGCGCGCAGGGCCTGGGGCGGGTTAGGCTATGGCAGCGTGACAGTAGCAGGGATGGGGTCATTCGTTGTGTTCTTTTAATTAGGTAGCTCTTAAGGTAAGCTTGCTCTGTACTGAGCACTTTACACGTAGTAACTCGTATTGTTCACAAATCTCTGAGGTAGATACTGTCGTGATCCTCCTTTTAAAGATGAGGAAACTGAGGCACAGAGGGAGACCAGTAACCTGGACTAAGTTTACAGCTCGCCGTGGCAGAGGTGACCTTTGTGCCCGAGTCCGGCTGCGGGGTCCGGGCTCCTCACCCCTGTGTCCCACGGTGCCTGTGGAACTGTCCCCTGCTCACCCTTCACATGTGGCGTGTCCAGTGGGCCCAGAAAGGGCAGAGGTTGGGCCATGACACAGGACTGCTCAGGACGAGCAGCCGAGTCAAGCAGGAGACGGGACGGTGGTTTCTGGGACCGAGGCCTGTGGAGTACGTGTCACTGTGTCTGTTTCCAGATGGTTTAGCGTCTGCCTCTGGTTCACACAGGGTCTGACGCCGCTGATGTATGCCTGCGCTGCTGGGGATGAAGCGATGGTCCAGATGTTGATTGACGCGGGAGCGAACTTGGACATCCAGGTGAGCAGGCCCCAAAGAGCCACAGCCGGGCCGCCGGCCCAGCAAGGGAGCACCCAAGGTGTCCATCAGCCACGCTGGGTGCAGTGTTTTGGACAACCGGCTAAATGGTTCTCGGAGGAATGGGTACGGAGATAACAGCAGAGAGGGCATTGCCTCAAACTTGGGCTTTGTGTCTGAGAGCAGGGGGGTGAGTGGAGAGAATGGCCATGGTTCTGTTACCGTAACACCGGTCCCTCTTAACCAGCCTCGTCCCCTCCCGCCCCTACCACATCCACCGTCCCCAGATGCATTTAGCTCTGCTTCCCTCTGCGGCCTGGTGCCCTTCCTGCGGTGGATCTGCCCAGGGCCAGCGGCGCTAAGTAAACATCCTTTTTTTTTTAAACATTTATTCATTTTTGAGAGAGTGTGAGGGAGGGAGGAGCACACGGAGAGGGAGACACAGAATCCGAAGCAGCCTCCAGGCTCCCAGCTGTCAGCACAGAGCCAGACGCGGGGCTCGAACTCACAGACCACGAGATCATGACCTGAGCCGAAATCGGACGCTTAACCGACCGAGCCACCCAGGCGCCCTTAAACATCCTTTTGAGCCTTGTCTACATGGCGCTCCAGGCAGACGTTGCCGGTTGAACCCGGAAAGCCCTCGACTTGGCTCCTAGTCCCCATCCCTGCGGGATACCCCCTTAGCTCAGGCGCATGTGTATCTTGCCCGGGAATGTCACTCGCCCACAAAAACCGCTCATCCGTGGCATTTTCCAGGTTCCAAGCAACTCTCCCAGGCACCCCTCCATCCACCCTGACAGCCGGCACTGGACATCGCTGACGTTTGCTGTGCTGCACGGACACATCTCTGTAGTCCAGGTGAGCCTCTGCCAGGTGCGCCGGGCCCCAGACGCAGCCCCTGCCTGGCCCAAGCGAGCGGCCGCCTGGAATCAGAGAGGGCAGAGGTACTGCTTAGAGTCAGCCACCGGGTCAGCAGGGCGGGCCCCACCCCGCCCCCCACTTTGCCTCAGGCAGAGGGCTTTCGTACAAGGATATGTGTGGCCTCAGCAAGTAAGACCCAGGCCTGAGCAGTAGCAGGCCTGGCCGGCATCTCCGGGTCTGTCAGGGAGTCCCGGGGCGTGCTGGAAGCTGCAGATGTGCTCTGTCTTCCCTCCTCCAGCCATCTCCCCCCACCCCCACCTCGAGCTCGTTCTCCTCCCTCGTGAATGGTCCCCCAGAGCCGGCTCGGTATCGTGGCGTCCTTCTGGCTCTGCCCGTCCCCATTAACAGGCCCAGTCTTTTAGTCTCCCAGTTCCTGAGGGCACTCAGAGGGGCACAGCTCAGGGGTCAAGCCAGGCTACGCCACACGGTGCCCACCTCGGCCCAAGGTAGCCGTGGCCGGTGTGAGGATGGGGTTCGGGCCCAGAAGTAGAGCAGAGCGGCGTCCCACCCCGGGTAGGACACCAGCCACACTGCCGCTCGACTCCCAGACTCCTTTGCTCCTCAGGCCACCGGGGTATACAGGGTCGCACGCCCCTTCCTGGGAGTTCGCGTTACACCTTGCTGTCTGTCTGTCTGTCTGTCCGTCTGTCTGCTAGATTGCAAGTCCTCTGAGGGCCGAGGTCATGTCCAGGCTATTCATCATTGTCAGCACAGCCCTGGGCTGTGGCAGTGACTCAGTGAGTGGTCTTCACCAGGCCCGCTGCCCTATCCTGCCTGCTTTTTGGTTACTGCCGTCCTAACGACCCGAGCAGGCTTCCAGCCTAGCCCAGACCGGCCTGCAGGGCCGTGCCCCGGACTTGCCTGGATTGGTGCCCAGTTTCGCCCCATCGGGCAGGCCTCCACCTCCCCCGCCTTGGCACACCGGCTCAGGCGGCAGCCACAGCTGGGTTCTGACCGACAAGAGCCTCCAGCTGACGGCCGTTCCCCGCCTCCCAGCCGCCCATGGCCACAGGTACCCACCTGGGGTTCCCGCCCCGTGTGATGTGGGAGCACGAAACAGGCTCCCCCAGGGGCAGCAGAAGAGCTAGAGAGCTTTCCAGATGGGAGTTGTGCGTGTAAGCCACCCGGAAAGGCGATGCGGTGGAGGCGTGGAGGGCAGCCTCGACCCCTCGTACCTGGTCTCCGGGTGTGAGACAGCTGCCGTGCAGGCTGGCCTGCCGGGTGCAGGCTCCGAGGAGGGTTTGGTGTCCAGAAACCCGGGAAGGATGGAAGTGCTCCCACCGGAGCAGCCGGTCAGGTCAGGGAAGGTGAGACGCAGCCGCAGCCGGCGGTGGCCTGTTGGGGCAGTGCAGACACCGCCCCTGCCCCGAGGCAAAGCCGGCCCGGCTCAGCTGGAACTGCCGGGTATCCGCCAGCCCCGGGCCATCTTGCCCTTGCCGGCACGGAGAGAGGCGCCCTGGATGACGAGCTTTCCCCCCAGTCCTGCGCCTCTCAGCCCCGGGTTGCTTGCCAGACCTCTCAGTGAGAACCTTCTGGTTATTGGATCCCCGTGGTGGGTCGAGTGCCATTTCGTATCAACGGCCTCTTGCCGTCTTCCAGATGAGGGAGGCCGAGGCCCAGAGGGGTTGAGGTTTGTGCCCCAGGTCCCTGACTGGTTGGTGGCCGGCACTGGCACTCGGCTCATTCTGGGCCTAATACCTGTGCCTTTCCCACTACTTCTGCTGCCTCCCAGAACCTCAGTTCCCCCACCTCAGTTTCCCCTGCTGGATTGGGATGATACTTTCCACTCTGTTCATTTGCATAATGTTTTAGAAAGGTCACCACAATTAAGTCACAGGAAAGCATTTTTTTTTAGTTTAATTTTTTTTAACATTTATTTATTTTTGAGAGAGAGAGAGAGAGCACGAGCCAGGGAGGGGCAAGGAGGGAGGGAGACACAGAATCTGAAGCAGGCTCCAGGCTCTGAGCCCACCGTGAGACTCGAACTTGTGAACCACGAGATCGTGACCTGAGCCAAAGTTAGACCCTTAACTGACTGAACCACCCAGGCGTCCCTCCCCAGGAAAGCATTTAAAAGCGAGAAACAGTTCAGATGTCCCCACGGCTTAGGGGCTTGGTCCAAAGTCACAAGAACAGAGGTGAAGATTCTAGAAACATGGAGCCCTGAGGCTAACTCCAAGTTCTAAAGTTCCAGTTCCTCGGCTGCCCAGGGGGAGTAGGGTCTCGGTCACGTGCCTAGAGGGAACTCGTCGAGGCCCTTCTCACAGATACTCCCTGCTACACTGACGTGTCCTGTCCTGTGCCCTGCAGTTGCTACTGGATGCCGGTGCCCACGTGGAGGGCTCAGCAGTGACTGGCGGTGAGGACAGCTACACGGAGACACCGCTGCAGCTAGCCTCTGCAGCTGGTAGGTATACAGCTGGCTCGGCCCATAGCTGGACTTGCGGCCCCGTGCCCAGATCCCTGGGGCGAGCCTTGAAACCCCTCCGTCTGAGGTCTCCCCCTGGCCCCATTCATCAGTGTTTCTCTAGAGCTCGGCACCCAGGCGGGGGCCAGCAGACAGGCGCGGTGCTGTGGGCAGTGGTAGCATCCTTCGTCGGCCTTGTCTTCCAGGGAACTACGAGCTGGTCAGCTTGTTGCTGAGCCGAGGCGCTGATCCCTTACTCAGCATGCTGGAAGCCAATGGCATGGCCTCCTCCCTCCATGAGGATATGAACTGCTTCAGCCACTCAGCCGCCCATGGCCACAGGTACCCACCTGGGGTTCCCGCCCCGTGCGATGTGGGAGCACGAAACAGGCTCCCCCAGGGGCAGCAAAAGAGCTAGAGATCTTTCCAGATGGGAGTTGTGCATGTAAGCCACCCAGAAAGACGAGCAGGTCCTCGATCAGCAGAGAGGCCTCAGATGTTGGACGCCCAGAGACACTGGGTGGCAGAGAGGTCCCCTTGCTGGGAGAGGCCCCCCAGCTCGTTCCCGGCAGGCCGGAACTGCAGCCTGGGTCTCCCAACACCCAGGGCAGGCTCTCTCATTTCCTATAGACTCCAGTACTGACCCATCTCGGGGCCACGTCCTTTCCTGTGCTCAGTGGTTCTTCTCCGGGCCCACGGTGGCCTCCTGGACCCCCGGGGCCTTCGCACAGCATATGGCTCAACCTCGAAGAAGCTCCTGGCGGCCGTGTGGGAAATCACACCCCGCTGCCAGAGCAGATGGCGGATCTTGCTTTGTGGGGGCCAGGCCTGCCCAGGGCTGTGGCGGGGAGGCAGCGGGCTGAGCCCAGAACCATCCGGCAGCTCTGGGAGGCAAAGTCAGACAGAGAGGAGGTTATTAGCAGGCAGGGGAGGGGCCAGAAGGGAGGGGCAGCCGGGACAACTACTTCCTGTTCTCCAACGCCCTTCTCAAAACCTCTTCACCCTGCGTGGAGACCGTCTGTCCACTCACCTGCTACCCACTCTCTCTCTCTGGAACACGGATCGGGGACAGGCGTGGCTGGCTCACCTTCACATACCCGTGCACGGCACAAAGTGGGTGCTCTGTAAACTTGGTGAGCAAAGCTACCGCCGGATGACCCCGAGTCTCTCAGAGGGGTCTCTGCATGTCACAACATGACCTCCAGCACAGAATGGGGTGGGGGCTGGGCTGGGCTGCCGCCGGAAGGAGGCTCAGCCCCCAGGTGACCTTTGGACCTGCCCATGCTGCAGCCATCCCAGGCCACAGGATGTGACAGAATGAGCCTGGGACATGGAACCAGAAGTCTGGGTTTGAGTCTGTACTCCTGCCCAGGGTGACCTTGAGCAAGTTGTATTCATCACACATGAATGGCAGCGTCCGTGGGATCTCACGGGGTGAAGTGCAACAGTACATGGGAACACGTTACGTCAAGTCTAACGTTCTACACACTGAATTCTGTATAACAGTTGTCTTGACTTTAGATCATTCTTCCTAATGGAAGGAAGGAAAAACAAATGAATATGAGCATGTCCTATGTTTCAGACACTTGCCATGAGTAAAATTGGCTGCTATCTCAGAGGACCGCTATGTATCCGGCTCTAGGTGTGATGCCATCACCTTGGCCTGACATTAATTCTGGAGGAGGGTGAGGCTGGCACCCTGCTCTGTAGATGACAGAGCGGTCAGGGCACAGAGACGTAGAACAACCTGTCTGAGATCACACAGGCAAAATGGCGGGGCCTGCTTGGCCCCAAAGCCCATGACTTAGTAGTACCAGGATGGTAGGGGAGTGGTAGGGGAGGCCCCGGTGTCCTCCCTGCCTCCCTCGGGCGGCTGCAGATGGAGGGCGCTGGAGGCCTGGCCCAGCCCGCCTGGGAGGGGGAGATCGTGCACACTTTGTGCCCACAGGTGCCCCGTAGCTCCCACATGGGCCCTGGGGCTCTGGAAGGCACCTCAGGTGGTTCCCTCCATGGTGAGGGCCTCAGGCGTCACCCTCCTTTGTCCCTTGGCCTGCAGGAACGTCCTGAGGAAGCTTCTGACCCAGCCTCAGCAGGCCAAAGCGGACGTGCTGTCCCTGGAGGAGATCCTGGCCGAAGGTGTGGAGGAGAGTGACGCATCCAGCCAGGGCAGCGGCAGTGAGGGGCCCGTGCGGCTGAGCCGGACCCGCACGAAGGCCCTGCAGGAGGCCATGTACTACAGTGCTGAGCACGGCTACGTGGACATCACCATGGAGCTGAGGGCGCTGGGTGAGAACTCGCAGGCATGCACGTACACACACGTGTGCACGCACGCGCACGTGCGTCTCCTGCTCTGCGGCAGACAGGAAGGGGGCGGTGCCCACAGGGGCAGATGGGCCACAAGGCAGCAGGGCACCGGACTGGACCGGTCTACGCAGGCCTGATGGCTGATGGCCAGGACAGGAGCTGCCCGGAGCCTCAGTCCTCAGCAGAGGTGCGTCTTGAGGGCATCGCCCCGCCTCAGGCCCTTCATCCTCCCTGGTCAGAGCTTCCCCGCCCCAGGGCCTGGTCACGGCCTGGGATGTGCGGCCCCGGGGTTGAGTCAACTTTTCTGGTCACCTGGATGTTCTCCTGTCACTTGGCCGAACTCTCCACTCTTCAGGTCTGCAAGTCTGTGGGACTGCCCTTCCACCAGGGAGGCCGCTCAGACAGACAGACAGACCTGGGTGAGGTCCCAGCCATTCCACAGGCGCTGATGGTCCTCATCTAAGAGTGTGATGTCACGTGAGGCACAGGGCCTGGCTCTGGCTCGCCACGAGCGCTCGGTGCACGGCAGCGGTGTCCCTGCTCTCACAGGGGCCACGACACACAGACCCCTAGCACTGGGCCAGGGGAGCAGGAGGCCATGCTACCTTCTTGCGGCCAGTCAGGCTCAGTGTTCTTCACTGTAAAATGGGCGTATCATTCCCATCTACAGTCAGCAAACTGAGGATGCTAATGCCACCTAAGTCATGTGTCCCTAGGGAATGCCATCCGTCCTTTTTGGTTTAAATCCATATGAGGCTGGGGGGTAAGAAGCTATGTCTCTAATTACCAGGAAAATTACTAGTTTTTGTCATGACCTTCACAAAGTAGTTTTAAGTTACTTTATGGCCTCACTGACACACTCCAGGGAGCTGGTACACAGTAATTATGTGCCACTGAATGCCAGTGACCTGAGCGCTGGTAAAAGCCCTCTGAGGTAGGTCAGGATTCATTTCAGCCTTCTAGATAGGCGTGGGCCTATGTGTCCTGCCTATTTTCTAGGCATCCAAGTCCACCTGGCCATCCCTCATAATTAACAGGTCTTCCCAGTAAGTAGTTCCAGGGCCCCAGAGACGGTGGGACTGGCGTGGCCTCAGGCTGAGCCGTGCGGGTTCCTGGCACTCCGGCCGGCTCTCCCTCATCTGATGAGAACCTGAAATCCCCCTGACCTCAGCAAGCCTGTCAGGCCAAAAGGAAGCTCTTTACAGCTGGCTTCGGAGAGAGCCACTCAGCATGAGGGGACAGGGCGGGATGCCAGGGGACCAGAGGGGGCACAGTGCGGGAGAGCCTGCCGAGAAAGCGGGGGGGGGGGGGGTGTCTGTCCAGGGCCCGCTCTGCTGAGGCCTGCCCTTCCCCTGCCTGCGCCCAGGCGTCCCCTGGAAGCTGCACGTCTGGATCGAGTCCCTGAGGACCTCCTTCTCCCAGTCGCGGTACTCGGTGGTGCAGAGCCTCCTGCGGGACTTCAGCTCCATCAAGGAGGAGGAATACAACGAGGAGCTGGTGACCGAGGGCTTACAGCTCATGTTCGACATCCTCAAGACCAGCAAAGTGAGTGACATTGGGCAGGTCCCCACCCTGAGCTTGCCGGGTTCCAGGGCCCCGGCCCAGACCGCAGACACGCAGACCGACACACGGCAGACAGACACCTGCACCCTCCCGCACCCCCCACACCCAGACTCCCACTGCCTGGCTGCCGAGGCCACAGGCCGTGGATTTGTCGGGGCTGGAGCCTGGCCAGGAAAGCAATTTGGGGATTCAGTGATGGAGGAACAGGCATCTCTTGCCAAGCCAGATCCAGGAGGAATAAAAGACAGCGGCTGCTCTAATCCAGGCCTGGACTTTTGAAATTAGCCTGACGTGTCTGTAGCTATAATCAGACGGCCATGGCGGGCGGGCGAGCTCACAGGCCCTCTCTCTGCCCCTGCCCCACAGAACGACTCCGTCACCCAGCAGCTGGCTGCCATCTTCACGCACTGCTATGGCAGCAGCCCGGTCCCCAGCATTCCAGAGATCCGGAAGACCCTGCCCGCCAGGCTTGGTGAGGCCTGCCCCCGCCCACGCGACCTTTCCAGATCCCCCTCCTTGTCTGTCTTCCTTTATCTTTCCCTGTTTGTCTCTTGTTCCCCATTCCTAGCGCCAAGGCCCTGGGCCTCAGTTTCTCTGTTCTTCCCCTTTGTATCCCCCAACCTCTCAGAATGCTTAGCCAGCACCCGGTAGTGGGGGGGCCCTAGTCATTTCCCTTCTCTCCTTTTGGGCACAGATCCTCACTTTCTGAACAACAAGGAGATGTCAGATGTGACCTTCCTAGTGGAAGGAAAGCTGTTTTATGCGCATAAAGTCCTGCTGGTGACGGCTTCTAACAGGTAGGCTGCATCGGGAAGAGGGGTGGGAGTGGCTTCGTTAGACACCAGGTGACAGAGGAGCCTGTCCTGTGGAGATGGGTCATGCAACCATGGAGTCCCGCTGCCCCACAGGGGGCACAAGACGGTGTGGACAGAGGGACAGAGGGGATGGGACGAGAGCTCTCCAGGAGGAGCCCTGAGGTTGTATTCCTGTTCGAGTTCCTGCTTTCGCTAGAAAATATAAATGTTTGGGAATGAAGAGTCACTTTTCCCGCCACAGGCATCACAGTCACCCCTGGGGGGCAGTGGGGACTCACTGGGGCCCAGCCCGGCTGTCAGTCCAGGGTGATGTAAGACGCCATTTGCCGAGAATAATTTTGGGAGCGCTGCAGTAATTTTTAAAATGTCCCGTCTCCCAGTGACCAGCCAGGTGATGGATGGCGCCATTGCTGCAGAATGATGGAGTAAAAGTCATGCTCAAGACCCGCCTTGTTTCTCCCCTTTGGCTCCAGGTTCAAGACGCTGATGACCAATAAATCAGAACAGGATGGCAACGGCAGCAAAACCATTGAGATCAGCGACATGAAGTACCACATTTTTCAGGTGTGTGGTTCTCTGTGCCTTGTGCTTCTCAGGGGTGGGGTGGGGGGAGCTCCCCCCACCCCCAGGGCCCCTTGGCTTTGTCCGTCTGGGCTGGGAGGCAGCTGGGATTGGCCGCCATCTTCCACTCCATCCCCGGTGCCTTCTGCGTTCGCTACATCAGTGGTCAGGTGGGAGTGTCTGGGCCTTTCCCAGGCACAGGTAGCCATTCCTGTGTGGGCTTGTGGCTTCAGAGCCTCACTCATGAGTCCTGAGCTCTGACCACCAAACGACTACATGGGCAGACTGACAGACACGTAAGGCCTGGCACACGTGCATGAGCCCTTGTGCCTCAGGGCGAGCTCCCCGCAGCACAGCGCAGACCTCCCTGTGGCGTCAGCCCCCTGCCTCCTGCAGGCGGGACACGGGGGTTGTGCTCACTCTGGGAAGCATGGTGTGGGCTGCTCCTCCCCTCCCAGGCCTCAGACCCCCAACCAGGAAGGCCAGGCAGAAAAAGCCGGGTGAGCCTGTCCTGGTTGCGGAGGACCCAGGTCAGGTCTTTCAGTCCCTAACTTTGGAGAACATCAGAGGTAGTGTGATGGAAATTCCACGGGCTGGCTGCCAGTCGGGGCCAGAGAGTCTGGAGGGAGGAGCCCCGGCAGAGAGCTCCTTTTGGGAAAGTGGCGACTACAGGTCTCCAGGCTGGGGGGGGAAGGGGTGCTCCGGGCTGCCCGGATGACCCCCAGGGGCTGAGACCGAGGCCAGGGACAGCTGGTATGTGGGTCGAGGGCCTGGCCTTGCACAGGAGAGCTCTGTGACCTAGTGGGAGAGGTCAGAGTCTCACAAAAGCACAGGGAGCCACCATCTAAAACGGCCTCGTTCCTCCTCCTGCTGTCTTCACCCACTTACTTGGTATTTCGTCATCTGTGGGCACTGTGGGGATGGCACTAAACAGGACCGGGCCCCCTCCACCAGGAGACAGGACTACAAGAAAGCCATCAGAGAGTGATCTGTATGCACGGGGAGCACTGGGAGCACAGAAAAGGGGCATCTAACCCAAATCTGCAGAGGCCTTCAGGGACTGGGGCAGCTAGCCAGCCATCGGGAGCCCCAGGCAGGGGGAACTGTGCATACAGAAGCAGAGACCACAGTGTGTTCAAGAAATGTCCTCTGACCCAGTCTGGTTAGTGGTTCAAAAGAACATCCAGAAACGAGTCTGAAGCTGCCACAGGGTGCCATCACATGAAGGGGTTGACCGTTAACCTATAGCACCATCGCTCTCACTTAGCCAGGCATGGCTTCAAGTACTTTGACTGTGTTCATCAGTTAAGCTTCATAGCACAGCACCGTCCTAGGAGGTGTAGGTGTATTATCACCTCTTGATAGATGAAGAGTCAGAGACAGAGCCAGGATTCAAACCTTAGGTTATGTGTGTGGAATGGTCAAGTTCGCATTTACAAAGCTCACTCGGAGGGTGAGGAAGGGACCAGAGGGGTCATGACTACTCCAGGGGACCAGTTAGGAGGCTGTTGAGAAATCCAGCTGTGTGATGATGGTGAGCGGCTGGTGGCCGTGCAGTGAGGGGAGGTGGGAGGCGAGGCCCAGGGTCTGGCACAGGCAGCAGAGTTGGGGAGGGGAGGGTCTCTCCTTCCCTCTTCTCCATCCCTTGCTCCAAATTCACGTGGAGAAGGGGCAGCTCTAGACACTGCTTTGGCTAAGAAGCCCAAAGTCTGGGCATGAGGTGGGGTCAGGACCAGATATGGGAGGGCAATGCAGGAGAGGCAGCAGGGCCGGGGCCAGAGTAGGGGGAGGGCACGTGTGAGCCCACTGCCATGTGGCTGCCCAGCCCGGAGGGGTTCTTGCTCCCTGGGAGGACATCCGTGTCAGAGCAGCCTTAGCAGCCCTTGACGACCTCTCGGGGCTGTTGGGAGGGTAAATAGGAACATCGGGTCTAACATCCGTGGCACACGCAGGCCTGGGAAATGTGGGCTCTCTGGCTATAGAATTCTGCCACGTGGGGGAGTGCCATCTCAGATGGAGCATCCAGATGCTGACCTCTGCTTTCCGGGCTTCGATCCGGGACCGGGGTTTCCTAACAAAGCCGGAAGTTTCAGCCCCACAGTATCTCCCTGGCTTTCACAGCACTGGGAGGGAATGAGGGCAGGTGGGGGAAGGGGTTCATTAGGTTTGTTTTTGAGAGGAGGAAACAGGCCCAAGGAGATCTGGGCTATGCCATCCAAGAGAAAGATAATGCAAGACACATATGTAATTTAACATTTCCTAGTAGCCACATAAAAAAGCAGGAGATGGAGTGAAATTAATAACATATTAAACCCATGGTAGCCAAAATATTACATGTGATCAATATAAAAATTAGCAACTGTATTTTCATACCAAGAATGTAAAACATAAGCATTTGAAATCCAGTGTGTTTTTGACATCTCAATTCAGTATTTTAAGTATTCCAAATACTTAAAAGCTAGATGTGGTCAGCGGCTATAGTGTTAGGGCCAGCCTAGATCTTGCCAAGGTCACTGCCGACGACCCCACCCGGGCCTTTGAGGACCGGCTGGTCTTACCTGGCTTCTGACCCCAGTCTTGTCCCGGCAGTATCTGCAGCCTCCTGGAGTCAGGTTCCTGGGGTCCTGTCCGGGACGGAAGGAGACCCTGCCACCCCCTCTGTAGCTGACGCTGCCTGGGGCCTTTCCCAGAGCAGCCTGTCTGGACCCTCAGGCTGCTGGGCTGCACACAATCAACCCATCTCTGCCTGCTGGCCACCCGCCTCCCGCAGCAAGGTTCCCAGGGAGCGGTTCAGCTCTGGCTTCCACAGACTAATATCCATTTAAGGGACTTCAGGGAGATCCACAGGCCACAGGTGGCTGGGCCTTGTTGAACCAGCTCCCGAGCCGTGGGGCCTGGGAAGGAGAGCTGCAGGACTCCGGCCCATCTCACGGCCCACACCCCCAGGCCCCTTCTTGCTGAGGGGCTGGCTGGCCTGAGGCCACCCCTTAGCAAACAAGCCTAGGAGATCCTACCCCCCATCCCCCCACCTGCTCCACTCCCAGCACTGGATCATCCAAGGCAGTCCTGCCGGTGTCCCAAACAGCCACTCTGTGCCCAGCACAGGGGACGGCACCTGAGGCGCACACCTCCTGGAAGGACAGACACCTCCATCTGTGCTCCAGCAGGGGCTGCTGGACCGAGGGAGCCTCCCCCGCCCCCCGCTCTGTGGGGAGGGACAGTCTCCGGGGACTGACCTCAGGCCTGGACAGACTAGCCATCTCCCCACTCTTCTCCCCCAGGGTTGGGCTGCTTCCTAGACCCTCTGGTGCCTCTTCCAGCCCGGGGGCCGGCTCCTAACAGAGCCCGACTGTGCGGGCCGGAGTCGTGTTTACTTACACACTTGCCAGCTCCTTGCTGGGGCTGTTTCTGCAGCCAACCGGGGAGAATCATTTTTCTTTTTCCAACTGGGAACCTCCCAGGCTCCAGCGTGATGGCAGAGTTTGTGACAGACCACAGTGAAATTAAATGTAGTTCCCCAGTCCTAGGCCACCTCATTTGATATCCCAGGCCCTCTGTTCCCACAAGCCCCAGGTCTGGGCCAGGCAACGAGGTGACCTCTGGACCAGACCCAACCCCAGCTCTGAGCTTGCTGTCCAAGGGAACAAATCCAGGGGGCAGACAGGGTCTGGCTCTCACCTCCACGCTGGAGATCTAGCACAGCCGGGAAAGTTGGAAGCAGCTTCTGAGGGTAGGCCCCTATTTAGAATTTAGGTAAGAAGAGAAATGAGCATTGTGCTGCTTAGAGTCTGGTGTGGGAGTCAGAAGACCTGAGTGACTTGAGCCATGCTGCCTTCCCTCCTGGGGCCTCAGTTTCCCCATCTGTGAACAGCACCTTCCCTTCTGGGCTCACGGGGCTGTCATGAGGTTGAGGGTGAAACCATCCCGTAGAGGGAAGCTTGTCGTGTATACAGGAAATCAAGAGGGAGAGTCTCGGGGCTGACCTGTAGAGACTGCACAAAATATCCGCTTCAGTGAGTGGGGATGTGCACGCATCCACATGGAGAGGGTGGAGGGCGCAGCCAGGCCCAGGGCGGAGAGCGGCACTCTGGTGAAGCCAGAGGACGTGGGTGCCGCGGGGCCGTTTGGTGTTCACGCAGGGCCTCTTCCCGCTGCAGATGATGATGCAGTATTTGTACTACGGAGGAACAGAAGCCATGGACATCCCGGCCTCCGACATCCTGGAGGTGAGGTCCTGGTGCTGGGAAGGGCGTGGGAGCCGGTGCACCCAATGCCCGGCTGCTGGCTCTCAACCCCGCGCTCAGAGACATGGCATTGGAGAGCCAAGGAGGGGAGGTGGCCTCTTCAAGGACCTTCTGATTCCCTGCTGGTCCTTTCTCTTCTTGTGACAGGGAACTGGGTGCCCACCACCTGCTGGGCCATGCCTGGGGTGGGGGTGGGGGCTGGAAAGGCTCCCCTGTAGGGATAATGGGCCCAGGAGGATCAAAGGCAGGCAGCAGGGCCTCCCACTCACCTCCTCACACTTAGAAAACAGAGCCCCTGCCGGCCAGGCACCTGGGTAGAAGGTGGTGTAGACAAAGCATGCAGCTTATGACTGAAGATCTTCTGTGAGGTCAGGAATCCCAACCAGTGTCTGTCACCCATCCTGTGCCTTCCAAGGTGTCCCAGCAAATACCGAGGTGCTCTAGAACAGAAATATATCCATCCTCAGACTTTACCTGCTGAGGCAGGCAGGGCCCGAGGATTAGAACATAGGGCCCACTGCACGAAGCAGCTTTCTGTTCCGTGATGCCTGGGCCACAGGCCCGGCTGCCCCCATCCAAGGCCACCTTTTGCCTCCCTCCGCGCCCCCCCACAGCTGCTGTCAGCCGCCAGCTTGTTCCAGCTGGATGCCCTACAGAGGCACTGCGAGATCCTGTGCTCCCAGACCCTCAGCGTGGAGAGCGCCGTGAACACGTACAAGTACGCCAAGGTGAGGACCCGCTGGGGCCTGGCTAAGAAACAGAGGCAGCTGGGCAGTACTTGCGGGGCAGTGTGAGGACTGGAGGGGGGCAGGAATGCTCTCTGGAGTCTGGGGTCATCGCTGTTCAGCAGCATGTAGCTCGGGGAAGAGCTTTCCAGCCAAGCAGACCCCAGTTCACATTCTAGCTGTGCCCCACCAGGCTGGGGGTGCCTGGGGCAAAAGGCTGAGCTTCTCTGAGCCCCATCACTTCCCCAGGTTCTGACCTGATTCTTCCCCAACCTGTCCTCCTGAATCTTCCCCTTCCTTAGCAACAGCATGGCCCTCTGCTCAGGTGCCTAGACTCAAACCATGAGAATTTTATATACTTTATATATATGTAAATCTTTTTTAGGTTCCCTCATTTAGGTCAGCTCTTGTGAACACATCGACAGTCTGTCCGCTGGGCCTCTCCCGCCCCCTCTCTGGACCATGGCACTGGCCCAGCCTCTCCCTTTTTGGCTTTCACCCCGTAGTCCACAGGCTTTTTGAAAAGCGTTAGGACCATGTCACTCCTCTACTTAACGCCTCCCCTCCCCCAAAGCCTCCTCCGCTTGCAGACTAAATATCATGCTTCACCAAGCCCCTAGCACCCCACCCACCTCTCCCTTCACCCAGTGCCCTGGCTCGTTCTCCGCTCCCACCTCCCCTGGGTCTCTTGTGATAACCATCCCCACCTCCAGGAAAGCACCTTCTGGAGCACCTCACAAAGCCCGCTGGTTTCCCCCCCTCTCCCATAAGGCCCCTGCCACACGGCCATCACCTGCCCGTGCTTCCTCACAGCACTGACCTCCATCTGCCGTTACTTTGCTTGGTCCTCTGGTTTCTGTCTCCCCGAAGGAGAACATCAGCTCTAAGAGCACACTGCAGAGACCTGAACCTCAGAACCTGGTGCCCACTGCCTGGCTCGGAGCGGACACTTGATATTTCTGGAGTTAAAATAGTTACTGAGCACCTACCGGCTCAGTTGCTGGGCCTCGTGCCGTCTCCCTGACCCTGCCATTAGTAAGGGAGCTTCTGCCCCAGCAAGGATGACTGCCATTCAATGATGGCAGCAGTGGAAAGTAGGCAAAGAAAACGCTGGGGCCAAGAACAAGTGATGTTTCTGGTGGCACAGCTGGGATTTGAGCCCAGATTAGTCCAACCTGGAGGTGATGCTTATGGACGGAGTCCAGGTCAGGGGGTGCCAAGGCCTGTGCTGGGCCTTGGCCCATGGGTAATATTTGGGGGAGGGTGGAGGGTGGTTTTGGGTGGGTCTGTGCCGGGGTCATGCTAAGGTTGTGGGTCTCACCACCCCCCCCCCACCCCCCACAGATCCACAATGCCCCTGAACTGGCCCTGTTCTGTGAAGGCTTCTTCCTCAAGCACATGAAGGCCCTACTTGAGCAGGACTCCTTCCGGCAGCTCATCTACGGCCGCAACAGCAAAGTGCAGGGCCTGGACCCGCTGCAGGACCTGCAGAGTACCCTGGCCGAGCGCGTGCACTCTGTCTACATCACCTCCCGGGTGTGAGGGGGCTGGGCGCACACAGGTCGGCACACCCAGCCCCCTCTGGGCCAGGGGTCTGTCTCTAGGCATCCCAGCGGGTGTGAAAGGCTGGGAGCAAGTGCTTCCGGGCCATCTGAACGAGTATGTAGCCAGGGTCTGTGGATGGGTCGTTGCCCCATGGAGGGGGCCAGGGCGCTGGCTGAGGCCCTCCTGGAGCCAGGCTCATGGGACTCAGTTTCCCCCTCTTTTCCCAGACCTCCCCTCTGGTGGTGATCTGTCCTTGCACAGGTAGATGTGCTCTGAGCCCTCCTGTCACTGGGCAGCCCCACCTTCAACCCTCTGCCCCCAAGCTGTGTCTGCTTGACTAGTTATGGGCAGACAAGTTCAAAAGGTGGCCCTTCCCCCACCTGCAACCCCCATACCGTTTGCACCTTGAGGGCTGCCGTGTACTCACCCTCTTGTGCTCCCCTCCTGGAGATCTATGGCTGATCCTGATTCTTCCCGCTTGAAATAGGGCCTGGAAGGCATGGTCAGAAGCTAACTACCCGCAGTCCCCACACCTCCATAAGCTCGGACGGTCCCAGCTGGGACTCCTGGAAGTACAGGCATCCTGATGAATGTAGAGAATGTATACTCTGGGCCTCAGGCCCCTTCATGCAGAAGCGGTATTTTTTTCTCAACATCACGTCAGAAAGGCTGTCCAAATCCCTGAACTTATTCCTCAAGGCTGTGCCTTCAAAGGCTTGATGTGAGCCTCCAGGGGGCACAGAGGGTCACTCAGTCCTATTCTCTTTGGTGTCTAGGCCGACAGAGGCCCTCCTTTGGGGACCACAAACCTGCTCGGTTAGTGGTAGAGCAGTTCCCCAACTGATGCCTTCAGAGCTTTCAGTCTAAGCGCAGGGTGGCATGGAGGAGTCTGGGGGCCTCAGCCCATGCTGCTGCTGTTTTTAGGGGCCCATTCTGAAACCCCAAGCCTAGATTTAGGCTGCCTCTGTGGGCTCAGGAAGCAGACCCCTAAATGTACCCCTGGCTGAGTCCTCCGACTTGGGCTGGAGAGGGGCACCTCTCACTGGGAACTGCGGTCCTGGGGGTAGAAAGGGTGGGGCAGTGGTGGGAGGGAAGGGGCGGGAGAAGGCCTGCTGCTTCTCACCTACCTGCTCCGGGCCTGCTGTAGGCCCCGGGCTTCCCTAGGTGGAGGGGCAGCATCGGGCTGGACACTTGTCATATTTATGGACCAGACACTGGGGGAGCATTCCGGACAGCTTGCTCCGGGTGTAGCCTTCTTCAGGCTGTCTGGCTGCACCTTAGAAACTATTTATTCACCAAAAGCCCTGGGCACTTAAGGAGGTGTTACTTTGGTTACCTTGAAAAGCCCCTGGGGGCTTGCAATCTTGGAAAATATTTTCGACTAGCTGCTTGAGCTGGATGTACAAAGGAATAGGCGTTATTTTATTGCTGTAATATTGTATGATACTGTAACTATACATTAATGTTGTCACTTATTGTAAATGTACCATGGTTTTATTAACAATAAACACTTGTTAACAATGACCTTGGTCTCATCACTCCTGATAGAGGGTTGCTCAGAGCTGGAGAAGAGCCCATTTAGGACCAGGAAGAGAACCCAGAGCTAATTCTCTGGTTACTCAGGCTTCCTGCCAAAAAGCCGGGTTGAGGCTACCCCCTACTCACCTCACCCAGGACCTGAGCCTCCATCCGTCCCCCAACACCGGGCTCTGGTGTTCCTCTTCCATCAAATGAAGTAGCTAAGAGAAAATCATTCCCGTGTGTTGAGTACATGTGCCATTGATCAGGACGGAAAAGGTGTTTGTGTGGAGGGACTGGAGACCACAGACAGGAATACGATGGCTGCAGGGGCTTTTCTGGTCTCCCCTGAGCCCACACCACCCCCACGGCCCTCACGTGGGAGCTGTTGTTGGGGTTAACAGTTGTTTGCAAACTTTGGACAGTCTAAGCCTGTGTGGCCCAGCAAGGTGGAGGCAGGGTGTTTGCCACCTGGTAATAGAGGGAGAACAGTAAGCTGGCGACTGGGGTCCAGAGGTCTTCTGGGACCAGCTGTAGTTTGTTTTAGGTACAAAGTCCAGGCAGAAATAAAGGTTTTTTAAAAATGTTTGGTACCTGACGCAGGAAAAAAAATTTCTAAGGTCACTAGAAACATGGACCCAAGTGCTGTGGTTCAGTAACTGATAGGCCAGAACTCAGGAGTTGGGGGACAACATGAAGACCTCATGGGGTCAGTTGGGGTTGGTCTGCGAAAGGCCTGATGACCAGCTTTGTGGCATGGGGCCCTGGCACCGGTGGTGAGAGGACTGCGTGGGCCCACAGCGCCCTCTGGGGGCCACAGGGAGGAGGCGCACCCCTTGGCACCATCATTCTGGGCAGAGGCCCTTGGGAGGGAGGACGGGGGTTGTCCCTGCCCGGCACTTACCATCTGCAGTAACTACCCTTCAGGTGTCTGTGTCCACCTTCCCCACAAGTCTCTCCCCTCCTTCCCCCCTGTAGGATGCACCTCCGTCAAGTACCCAGGGAGCTCAGCCATTTTCTCTTTCGGGGGCAGGTCAAAGAGAAGGCCACATTAGGGAGGGATGGGTCCCCTTTGAGCCTACGTGTAGCAGAGCACACTAAGGAAGCGCTTCAATCACAGAAACCGGGGCTAGAAGTGACCTTACCCCTGGTGGCTGGGCCGCCTCCTCGGGGCCACCGCTCCAGAGCACGGGGGCCTCTCTCCTCCAGCTGTCCGCTTCAGCTAACAGCAGCCAAAGGCAGGCTGGAGGAGAGGAAGGTGAACTTCTTCACAGGAGTCCCTGGGAAACAAGGGGCCAAGAACATCAGTTCTGTACAGTGGGACTGCATTCTCCAGCCGCCCCGCAGGCAAGAAGAGGCTAGCACTCGGCATCTGGAGCCTGGGCCTCGTCCCCACAGGAAACTCCTCCAGGCGTGAGGGTCCCCCGCATTCCTGCTCCTGCTCTTCCCTTTCCTTTGCTCTCTGCTCATTGCCCAATGACAGACAGCCAGACACCAAGAGCATGGAAACTTTTTCCTCAGCTGAACCACCTACAGCCCCGTAGGAGACCCTCAGGCCTTCCCTTTCCTGCCACCCCACCCGCTGCAAACTCCACAGGACATTTCTCCTTTAACCAACCTGTTTACAGAAAGGGGCATCTGCTTCTTCCAAGGCTGATGTCTGACCCTCCCATTCACGCCAGAGGGATTGCAGCCCCGCCCCTCCTCCAGGCCTGCAAACTGGTTGCTGGTGTTAAAGGCCCTCAGATAATGAGTCTACATTTTTCCAAGGTGACGATCACTTATTTTCTCCCCTCCCCCCCCCCATCTCAACAATGCCTTTGTGTCCACCTCCCGGTCACTCTGGAGTCCTTGGGGACTGCCGGGGCCAGATGAGCAGTGGAAGCACTAGGCCAGCATTAACCCCCTCCCAGCTCAGGAGGATGGAGACCATTTAGGAATCTTCTTTGTTCAGGCTTCTTCAGCCCCGTTCCCGTCCTGGTGACAGCATTCCTAGCCAGCCTATCTGAATTCATTTCACCAATGAGATTTCCTGAGACAGCCTAGCTTTACAGATGTCACTGTCTGGGGGCCAGATGGTGAGGTCTGGGGGAGGTGTGCTTTTTCAAGTTTGGAGGGGAACCCAAGATCACAAAGTACAGGGACCTGTGTAAGAACAGATCCTTTGCAAATAAAAGGGCCAAGGCACAATGTTCACTTCCTCTTTGTGTGCAAAGGGGAAGGCTGTCTCCGAGAAGAATGACCTTGTTGGAAGCCACAGAAACGGAGAGGTCTGACCACAAAGTGCATCATCTGCCCCCCAAGTGGGGCTCTTCAGCTTAGGTTGTTTTAGAACAAAGCCAGTCTTACTAAGTCTTACTAAGCTTGCGTGTCACTGAGCAGCTCCCCTGGTTATGCAGATGCAGGCCACACAACCCAGAGACTTCTAGAGCACTTGCCATACACCAGGCCCCACTGTCCGCTCTTCACACTCAGCTCCACTCGCTCCTCACAACGGTGCATGAGGTGGGAAGGGTCATTACCACTTGCGTCTCACAGATGTGGGCCCGGACAGCAGGTGGAGGGAAAGTGGCGTGCCCAAGGTCACAGTGGGGCTCAGGGCAGAACAGTGTTGCAGCCCGGAGGTCTGACCTCAGAGCACCTCTCCCTGCATCCTGGAGCAGAGCATAAGTCAGGCTTCGGGGTGGGAGGTGCCATGCAAGGGCTCGGCCGATCTGGGCCCCCATACGCATGGGAAGACATGGCTTAAGACAATAGTTTTAAGAAACCATCCAGCTCTGACCACTTGGGATTCCGACTTTGATTTTAAGTCACTCTCTGAGAAACTTAACAGAAACCCATGGGGGAGGGGAAGGAAAAAAAAAAAAAAAGAGGTTAGAGTGGGAGAGAGCCAAAGCATAAGAGACTGTTGAGAACTGAGAGCAAACTGAGGGTTGATGGGGGGTGGGAGGGAGGAGAGGGTGGGTGATGGGTATTGAGGAGGGCACCTTTTGGGATGAGCACTGGGTGTTGTATGGAAACCAATTTGACAATAAATTTCATATAAAAAAAAGTCACTCTCCTAAGAAAATCCTTTGGAAGATAGGCTCGGGCACTCACCTGAAAAACAAGCAGATCAAAAATTCTCGTTGCCCCTCTCATTGAACTCTCCTGCTGGCCTAACAGGGGGTCTGTGGACAGGAACCTGTGGATCCAGGAGACGAAAGACCCCTAAACCTATGTAGGCAAGGTGCAGGGGTCACCAGTCCAGGCCGAATTTGCTCTCCTTGCTGTGGGTGTGAGTCCTGGGAGGTGTACATTTAATCCTCTGGTCCAGAAGTTCCCCTTCCAGGAAGCTGGATTACACACCTTTCGCTGAGGAAAGGGTCTTTGGACTCATGGAAGACCAGTCCTTTTAAGTTCTATGAAAATCTGAGGGGGATCAGTAACCAAAGCTCGAGGCTGACGCAGCCAGGGAGCCGCAGGGCACAGGGAGACAGCAGATCAGAACAAGAGCACGACTGAGCCGACTTCCACCTTGAGCATTTCTCACCCTCAGCGACAGGGATAAGGAACAATCCTACAGAAACCAGCAGAAGCCCTCAGGGTCAAGGTTTCAATACACAGTACTGGGTTTAGAACCAGAAAGTAGATACCGTGAAACAGCATACCAAAGTATGCGTGAAGTCACCACACAATTCCTGTACCCAACAGAAGGGACCCGATGACCTGACAGAAGCTTGGAGGAAACGCACAGCTAGCTAGCTTCCCGGAACCACAGCATGTCCCTCAGAAGGACCACAGTGAGCACGGTGGGTGCCGGCCACTCTCCCAAAGGCTTTTGGGTCATCGGTAAGCCCTGGCCCCTGCTCGCCCTCGGCCTCGGTACCAACTCCTTCTGGAGATTACCGGGCAGCCAAGCCCCACCAGGAGAAACAAGGCAAGGCACCTCTCCCACCCACATGGGGTCAATGAGCACCCACAGGCGGTTGGTCTTTCTAGCTTGTTATTTATTAAAAATAGATTCTCTATCCCTCCCTTACCCCTGCTAGCAAAATGGTCTTGCACATTTTTTCCCAAATAGATGAAATAACAGATCTGGGGACTCAATGTCATAGTCTTTTCCTAAATGAAGAGCTCAAGCTCTCCAAGGACACAGGGCAGCAGGCCTGCGGAGCCAGGAGAGGAATGCTTCACGGCAGAGCAAAGCCCAGCGCACAGAACAGTGACCTGCCGCGGCCACATGGTTGGACCAGAGCTCCTGCTACTCTAGGCCACGACGAGAGGCCCAGGGCTCCATCAGGGGCCTCCTGAGCATCACCAGAAGGTTGTGCATTTAATGTCTGAGAAGGGACAAGAGTCAGCGTGGCTCCAACAGGTGGGAAGGGGCCAAAACAGCTGGGCCCAGAGCAAAGTGTGAACTTATGGGGGGAAAAAGACCTGGACAGGGGGAGGGGAGGCAGGCCCTCAGCAGCACCAGAGGTTTGTCCAACCGTCCAGTTCTAAGCGGACCAGCACAGAAGGGACGTCGCCTTAAGCCAAGCTTGGCCCACGGACTGAACTCCTAGGCAGCTTCCGGGTCTGATGGGGACTTCGTTGCTTTTAACATCCAGGCCTCCACCCGGTCCAGCCAGAGACAGCTCAGCACGTCAGACTCCTCTCCTTACGCATCAGCCACGGATGCCCACCTTCCTATTTCTTCCGCTTCAGTTTCATATCTTTTTTATTCTTCATGTCTCTGTTTTTCTTCAACTTTTTGTTCTGTTTGGGTTCTTGTTTGGCTTCCAGCTTCCTTTTCTTGTCACTAGAGAGACAAAAAAAAAAAAAAAAAAAAACCCACAAATAGAAAGAGAAAATGAAATATGCACAGATCTGTAACATCTTTGAGACTGCTTTGCTTCAGGCTTGCTTTGCTTTGTCTGAAAACGGGTTTTCACCATCTGAAACATTAATGAGACAGAAATGTTCTCTGCAAGCCTACCTGCACGCCAGACACTGTGCTGGGGGGAACATGCCGACCAGTTCCTGCCCTGACCGGGCTCTTCCTTGGAGGAATAAATCTCTCTTAACACCTGAAATCTGAATTCCCTTTGGATTGCTGTTCATTCTCCCCTCCCACCACTCAAAAGCAGACATATTATCCCACGGACCCTGTGGATAGTCTCTAACACAAAGCAGGACTCTCCCAAGAACACCCTGTAATACTTTCCAGCGTGGTAGTATTTTATTTTTCCTAAATGAGAGAGAAACCGAAAGGAGTAGGAACTCAGGTTACACGTTTCAGCTGGCCAGGGGCGGCCTCGCTGACAGCTTAGTACTGGAGTCATTCGGCAAAGGACTACCGCCTTCCTTCCCTTTTACAGGTTAAAGATTCTCTCCAGTGGCATTTTGTCCTGGGAACAAACACCTCCCTATGACGAGAAAGCAAACAGTTCCATCCACAGACCACTACCATCACCTGAACAAAATGACCTCTCAAAAAAGAAAAGCAAGGCCTCAAAGAATACGATGACAGGTATCAGTGTTTTTTATCTCCAAGAGTAGAACTGACTCAGAGAACTTCAAGCAGATTTGCCACAGAGGCCAGTGAAAGCAGGAGGCTCCTCACCAGCAGTGACACAGCCAAACGGCAGGAAAAGCCAAGCTCCGAGGGACGTGGAACCAGCGGGGTCCACACCAAGCACACGCCCCAGCCTTTTGTTCCAGTCAAAGCCACCATGCTCAAGGCCAGAGCCATCACAGGCCCTGTGCGTCATCTGCTATCCTGGCCAAACCAGAAACTAGGACACGATGACAGTGAGCTCTCGTGCCACATCTGAGAGCATCCGGGGATTGAGGTTGGCAGCACTGCTGGAACCTTCAAAATGCCGCAGTAACTTTATGGAGACTGCAGGAGACAGTATCTGATTTCTGGGATCTCTAGTTCCTAGAGTCACAAGACTTCTTTCCAAATTTATCCCTCAAGGGAACCTATCCTATGGCAACGCCAAGAACTCACCTCCCCACTAACTCCAAACCAGCTGTGGAAGTTCATCTCCAGAGGCCGAGGGCAGGGGAAACCTCATTCTCCTCCCCAGGAACTCCAATATAGGTTCAGGCCCGAGAAGCCATGATCTACAAATGCCCCCCTCTGCAGAGAAGCAGCTGGAGGGGGAGGTTTTCAAGCAGGGCCTCCTGGGATCCCCAACTCTTTCAGGTGGGCCCCAAGGGGGAAACTGTTTTCACAACAATACAAACACACTGTCTGCCCCTCACTTTCACTCTCACAGCTGTCCAGTCTTCCAGAAGCTACGAGGTGTGCGATGGCACCAGAATGAACGCAGAAGCAGAGGAGTCAGCTGCTGCCTATTAACCCAGACAGCGTTTGCAAAATGTAAATGTAAAACAACGCCACTCTTAAGATTTTTGTGGGCAAAGGCTATTTTTCTAAACAACAAAACCATAATGAGTCCATGATTGTTAATTCTGGATGAATTTTTTAACATCTCAGTTTACTTCTAACATGGAAAATATTGATAGATATAACCCTCATAAACAAAAGTCCCTTGGGGGCCCTCAATTTTTATGATGCAAAGGAACTCTAAGACCCAAGACTTGGGGAATCACCAGCTTCAAGCAAGGGGAATATAGCAGGTAAAACTCCAGCCTCAGCAGTGGACACACCTGGTCCTGACCCCGGCTCAGCCTCTTACCGGCTGGATGCTTCTTGGGAATTTACTTAACACCCTGGAGCCTCGGTCACTTCATTTTTAGAGCAGTGCTGGTAATAAAGCAGCCACCGTCGTTGTGAGGGTGCACAGGACACCACATTGATGCCCACAAGAGCCCCATGGCCCTGCCTCATCTGTAGGAAATACGATACCAAAGGAGCTACCCTCAAGGAAAGAGTAGTGATTTTGTCCCTCAAAGCTTTTGCTTCGACCTCCTATTTCCTAATGAAAGTCACTAGAGGAGCTGAGAGACCAGAAAGCCTCTCCTGCCAGAAGTCTGCTGGGCCCTCACCTCTTCAGGCTGACAATGGAGGCATTCTCCCCAGCTTTGTTCAAAACTTCATTCCATTCTTCATCATCTCCACGGATTATGTATCTAAAAAAAAAAAAAAAGGAAATCTCAAAGCCTGCTCAAAAGAAGATAGTGACAACATTCTCAGCAGACATGGCCCATCACAAAGGCCCGGCCAGCCGCACCAGCGTGAACGGCAGAGGGAAGGGGCACTTGCACACTAGGGGGCTTCATGGGAGCAAGGAGGGCCACAGGGCCTGCCAGGAGTCATACTCTCACTAAGTGTCCAGCAGGGGGAGCCTCCTATGGCCCCACAAGCATCTTGCTCACTCCCACCTCAAGAGGCATGGTGCCCACAGGCCCTGGAATCGTGCCTCCCTGCCCCACCTCGCCCCACCTCTCTCAAGCCAGCAGCCCCAGCAAGTCAGGGTTTTGTGAATTGAGGGAAGAGCTCAAAACCCTGCCCAGGGACCTCCAGGGTCCTCCATCTCATGTGTCCAACAACCACCATTTCTAAAGGACTCAGTCAGGGGGCTACAGGTCAACGAAGCTCAGAGGCCACTAATTCTAGAAACTTCATTTACATCAACCGACAGAGCGGATGACACCATTACAGCTGAAGCTCAGGGGGACCAGGAGTCCTAGTTCACAGAGGGTTCCAGAACAAGGGGTTTTGGTTTATTTGTAGGCAGTAGAATCCTTTCTTGAATCAAGTTTACATGTAAAAGCCAAACAGAGAAAAGCAGCCATTGAAAATGGATGTTCATTGGGGCGCCTGGATGGCTCAGTCGGTTGAGCGTCCGACTTCGGCTCAGGTCATGATCTCGCGGTCCGTGAGTTCAAGCCCCGCGTCGGGCTCTGGGCTGATGGCTCAGAGCCTGGAGCCTGCTTCCGATTCTGTGTCTCCCTCTCTCTCTGCCCCTCCCCCGTTCATGCTCTGTCTCTCTCTGTCTCAAAAATAAATAAATGTTAAAAAAAAAATTTTTTTTTTAAATAAAAAAAAAAAAGAAAATGGATGTTCATCAATTAGTACCCCTCCCTGGGGACCTGAGGGAAAATCCTCAAAATATGCAGAGTGAGTTAGAGAGGTTTTAGCTGTTTGGCTTCTAAAATGGTGCCATGTGACAGCTGCCAGGGCACCCGGATGTGGATCAGAAGGGAGCTGCAGACAGGTCCCCAGGGTCCTCAAGGCCAAGGCAGAGCCTCCACTCCCCATGAGTGGTGCGGGGGCCTTACTGAGAGAGGTCCATGTTCTTCAGCTTCCCCACTTCTTTCTTGTGTTTCTCCTGGAATTCCTTTGCTGCTTCATCCTGCGGTCAAAGCCCCAGAGACAGAGCAGGTCAGAGCCGAGCAGAAGACAAATGACAGAACAAGAGGGCACGGTATCTCTAGGAGAGCAGACAGCTCCTTCCCTGCCATCAGAGGCAGCTCTTACTAAAAGAATATCAAATCTGTGCTTGCAAAAGCCTGAAAGGACAAACAAGCTGTCAGTAGCAGTGCTGGACCGCCTGCACACACGCACTCGGGGGGCATCGCATGTCGGGGAGCGAGAGCGCGAGCACACACAGGCCAGGGGGACTCCGCTGCGTCAGGGCGGAGGACTCTCCCCCCAGGGCAACGGGTGCACCTCCGACATTCCCACGCTTTAAGCGGGTCCTACCAGGTCATCACTGAGGGTCTTCATCGTGGGCTCCATAACCACATCCTTCACTGCCGCCATCTGCTCCTCAATGGCCCTCTCCTGCACTTCATTAAATAGCTGCAAGACAACGGCCGAGAGATGAAGCGGAGCGGCAGCTGGGACCCTGTCACTCACTACCGAGTCACTTAGCACACACTTCACATGGGCAAGAGTGCACCCCTTCATGGTAAGAGTAGAAAAACAGACTGGAAGATAGCAAATTCCTAACAGTGGTGCCACCCCTGGGAGAAAGCACGGGAACATTCCATATAGAGCTGAAGGCCCCTATTTCTTCGTGTGAGAGCAAGAGTGAGTGAGTGAGTGAGTGAGAAGATCTGCAACAAATACGGCCAAACGTTAACATCTATTTGTTTTAGGGCAGGGAGTGAGTTTGTTGAATTATCGGAAACAGATCAAAACCCTGCCTTCAGATCACATTACCTTCACCACTTTGCGGATGATCCGGTTGAAAAGTCCCATCAACTGGCCTGAGGGCAGCTCAATCTCCTTTTCCAGCTGATCCACAGACTTGTGCTGGAGGCCAATGCCTAAGAGAAGAGCCTGGAGGATGGAAAATTTGCTGGAGTGGCCACTAGGACAGGCCCTTACCCATTAAAAGGGCACGGAGAACCAGTCACTTTCTTTTGACCAAAGCTATCTGCCACAAAATATCGACTGGTATGGTCTGTTCTGGCATCTTCTCTTTCACCCTGTTACTGAAACCACCAAGAAATGCTTCCTCCTCCTGAAATCCCCAAACTGATTATCCTGACAAACAGCTGCTTCACAGCTGCATTTTAAATTACACAGTGCCCTTGAACCTCTGCTAAGGTAGAGTTAGAATCAAGGCAATGTGGTGGGGTGGGAAGAATGTGGGTTCAAACCGCAGCTCTTCCTCTGACTGTATGGCCAGGCATGTGAGTCAACTTCAGAGCCCAAGTGTCCCCCCACCTGTAAAACGGGGAGAACACTACCCACTGATCAGAACCATAAGGAATTAAATGCACAAAATTACATCAGAGCATCCAACTGAATGGGCACACAAGGAGCAGATAACCTACTGACTGGGCCGCAGACAGGGACAGGTCCCCCAGCTGGTTTAGGAAATACATCCGGGAGACGGCTGGGATCAGGTCCATGATGAGATGATAGTCCACCATGTTCCGTGAGTACATCTCCAGCCTCTTCAGGTCATAGGGGAGGAAGAGGGCTTCCAGTTCGGCCCGGCACAGTGCTGTCCAAGCAACAGAGCCAGACACGTTAGAGCAGCCGGATGTCCTTGCAAGGCTTGATGGGGTTCCCAAGTAACACACAGCGGTCCCCTGGTGGCGCCCTAACAGCTGCTCCTCCACAGGGCCTCCTGTGGGCCAGCCCTGACCTTTCTCTTGCCAAGGGCAGGCGGCCTCAGGCCACGCAGGGAGGGGGGACGGTTGGCATGTCACCCTTGCTCAGAGTTCCACGCCAGCCCATCAGACCAAGGAAAGGCTCCAGCGTCCCAGGGATAGAGGAGCCCAACACTCCTTCCCCACTTTGCCACTTCTCCTCAGGACCCAGCTTCACAGAAAGTGTGTATGCTCTGCCCAGTTTGAGGAAAACAGATTTTTCCATTAAAATATAATTGGTCGGGCGCCTGGGTGGCGCAGTCGGTTGAGCGTCCGACTTCAGCCAGGTCACGGTCTCGCGGTCCGTGAGTTCGAGCCCCGTGTCAGGCTCTGGGCTGATGGCTCGGAGCCTGGAGCCTGTTTCCGATTCTGTATCTCCCTCTCTCTCTGCCCCTCCCCCGTTCATGCTCTGTCTCTCTCTGTCCCCAAAATAAATAAACGTTGAAAAAAAAAAAAATTTATAAAATATAATTGGCAAAAAAAAAAAGAAAAAAGAAAAGGTACACACACATACCCAGCAGCAGAAAAAACCTACAGCTATTAATACTAATGATCCATTACTTTTTAATATTTTAAATATTCCAATGGAATTTACATGTCAAAGCACTTCCCATGTGTCAGCCACAGGAGGAGGAGCACATATTATTACAAATTTCATGAATGAGGACACTGAGCCTGAGAATTAAGCTGGTTACTCTAGCTCACAGAATTTAAATCAAGTTCCACAATTAACTAGCTATATGAACTTATTTAACACCCAAAGTCTTGTTACAAAGATGGAAAGTATTGTGGGCGCAGGTGCCCCTAAGGCAGAGCGGGGCCAGCTGAGGCAAAGGCAGGAAGGGGGGGGTCAGTGGAGATGCAGGCTGGGGGCCCATCCCTCAATTCTTAAGCCAGCCTTCCTGGACCACCACGCCCACCTCCTGCCTCCACAAAACCAAGCCACTACCAGCCCTCTGCGCCAGTCCGCGCGGCTCACCTGGCTGTGCTGGCTTCCCGATGTTCCTGTTCTGAATGATGTTCAGAGCCAGGGGAGGCGAGAAGGTGCCGAACTGGTAGGACAGCAGGGCTAGGAACCGCCTTCGGAAGTCTGTGGAGGACAACCGCACAGAGTCAGAGGTCTGGGGGCCGCCTGCCTGTCACCTGTCTCCCTTCTACTCTAATTTACCTTTCCAAAAGGCCGGGAGCCAGGCTCCCTGGTCAGCCTCATCCTCATCAGTCAGTGTCTTCAGCATGATGCACGAGTGTTCTCCAGTCAGGTCATTCTGGAAACACAAATGCCTACTTGGTACCAAGAACACCCTTTTCTGAAGAAGCTGTCATTATTGAAGGGCAGGAAGACACAGCGCTTCCAAAGGCATCTCCTTCCTCTCAGGTAGGAGAGCCCCCCACGCACTGCCTGCACGTCCACACAGCCTCATTTCCCGCATAACAGCTTTCAGAGGCCCCTCAGTTCTGTGACTTCCTAGCAGGTGCCGCAGGAGTGGAGCAGAGCGGTTCAAGGTCTGCTCCAGACCCACGGAAGTGAGCCACTCGCACGCCATCAGGTCAGATTCTGAACTCTGAGTCATTACAGCTTAAACTCCACATGATCCAATCAACAGGTTTTGGGTAACTTACAACAAAACTCCCTGCCCCAAACCTAGAGTTCCCATACTGGCAACCAGCTTGCAAATGCAAGTTTCTCTAGGTGCTAAAATAGTGAACATAGGTCTTTACGCTTTTATTACATAACAACCACAAACCCCACACAATAGAAACATCTACTGGATTTTGACCAAAGAGCACTCACATAGCAAAATACCCACACCATGTCACAAACGAGTGGCACACCGCACAAGAGCACAGGGATAAACCGTGGTCTATGCTGAACTCAACGGTCTGCACAAACCTCACAGCCGACCAGCAAATTTAAGCCCAGCCTCAGCCCCACTCACTGACAAGGACCCAGCCCACCTGGGAGCTGCTCTGCCCACACAGAAGCAGCCGAACACCCAGTGGTCTTCACCAGGCCCACTTTAAACTCTCAAATGGGCACCGCCCGTGGAAACTGGGGGCTTTGTGCACTCCAAAACAATCAAACCTCCAATGCCCCTTCTCTCAGCCTCCCATCTGGGAAAACAGAACTTCATCCTCCCAGCACCAACCCAACCAACTGACCCACACCTTCTGTGCCCAAACTTTCTGCCTTCACTGTTGCTGTGACGGATGAGGTGGCCACCTCACCCCCTGCACCCAGGGTCCTACTCCCCCTGCCTCGAGGTCTGCAATCAGCCCCTGTCACCTATACTACGATTTGTGTGATCTCTACAGAATCATACCCTGCGGCAAACAACCATGTTCTAGAATCTCCCACCAGATAAACTCCCCTGAATGCCAGTCTCCTTGCAGCTACCTTGTTTCTCTGCCCCTTTTACTTCCCATATGAATCATCTATTTCCTCACTTTCCATTCTCTCCAGTTAGGATGAGCCCTGAGCTCTCCAGGAGCTGCCTTCCTTCTAATCACCATTGTCCATTGACCATTTATTTGTCCCCAGCTTACTTGCTCTCCGAAAGCCACCAAGTCCCTTTCTTGAAACACTGGTTAATCCTGGCTTCTGACATGCTCCCCAACTTTCTCCTCCACCTCAAGGCCACTCTGCCGTCTCCTGACTCATTCCTCCAAAGTCTGGACAGTCCAGGACGCACCCTCAGTCGACTTTCAGTCCCAGCTTTCGATAACTTTTAAAATGTACTCATTCACTGAAAAATATTTACTGAACACGATACCACACGTAGTAGATGATATTAAGTGCCGGGGTTACGGCTGTGAAGAAAACAAAGTCCTTGACCCCGGGGAGTATATTCTCTTGAGAATACGCTCCCAAGTGTCCATCTCCAGCCCCAACCTCTACCTGGAGTGCCAGACTCCTGCAGGCCACCGCTTGTCTCTGTCCCCATCGGGCATCTGACAAGCATCTCCCACTGTGCCAGGGCATTCCCGCTGTCACCTCCAGACCTGTCCCTCCCCCAGCGGCTCTTCTCGGCAAATAACACCTCTATCTCCCAGTTCTTACTGACTCTCAAGCCAAAAACCTAAGAATTATCCTCGATTCTTTTGGTTCGCTCATCTTGCAATCCAATCCTTCAGTTCTAGTCAGTGTCACCCCCAAACATGCCCGGCCTTGGCCACTTCTCTCCATCTTCACTGCTTCCTCCTCAGCCCATACCCCATCTCTCATCCACCCACATCCTCGCCTCCACTCTTGGGCCACCAACATCCACTGTCTACACAGCAGCCACAGCTCCTGAACACCTTCCTCCAACTGGAGGGAAGAAAACAGAGTCCCCAGCCAATGACCCACGCCAACCTTCTTTTGTCGCTTTCAAATCACCGATTCACTTCCACCTCAGGCCCTGCACTTGTTGCTTAGAAACATATTTTTCAGGGTGCCTGGGCGGCTCAATTAAGCATCCGGGTCTTGATTTCAACTCAGGTCATAATCTCACAGTTTGTAAGATCAAGTCCCGCATCCGGCTCTGCGCTGACAGCAAGGAGCCTGCTTGGGATTCTCTCCCTGCTCTCTCTGTCCCTCCCCCACTCACTTGCAGGCTCTCTAAATTTAAAAACAAAACAAAACAAACAAAAAAAGAAACACCTTTTTCTCTAGGACCGTCCATGTGGCTAGTGCATTATGCTCAGGGTCCAGTTGGAAGGGCCACCCCTCAGAAGCCTGACCACTCAGTCAGTACGCTACACTTCCAATTTTTTCTTCACGGCACATAGCGTAACCTAAAAAACTTCTCATTTCTTCACTTTCTTGTTGCCTAATTCTACCCATTAGAAAACAAGTTTTGTGGCTTACCTTACTCATTGCAGGTGCTAGATTCTTTTTTTTAATGAACTCCCAGTAACTCTCTCCCTTCCATAATAATCCTCCATGGCTTGGTCATCCACGTAATCACATCCCTCCTTCACATACCTGAGGCTGCGCATCTGCAAGCCTCTCCTAAAGACACTGCTACACTTTTCACAAATTCTAGGAGGCCCCCAGGCTGCAGGATTCCAGAATTTGACGAACGAGTCCACACGCACTTCTGCCATTTTACAATCAAGCACAAAGCCAGGTACACACCAAGTGTGCACCACACAGCGGGGGAGCGAAGTGTGTGATCGCATGGCCTTGAAGTGGCGATGGCTGTTTTGGTGTCCATCAGAATAAACCTCTTGGAGGCAGGGCACACGTGCTCAGAACATAGTTAAGAGGCACCTGGGCTCCATATAAGGACAGACCTGTCACCAACTGTAACCGCAAACCCACACCCCTCCTCCATCTCACTCACCGGGGTCTGTCTCAGATACACAGGAACAAACCCAGCTCGCTTCCAGAACCTGCCAAGACACAAAAAGAGCAGGTCACTGTGCGCACCTTCTGAGACTGGCCGGCAGATGAAGACGGGAAGGGCTGGGCAGGGGTGGGAGTGGGGGAGTGGTCAACGGAACCGACAAACACACCAGCTGGAAGGGCAAACACAGTCCACAGAACACTCATTTTCAGGACACCAAGGCCACGGGGTGATGTGAAAAAGAAAGAGCAGGCAGACCCTTACTTGAGGAGCCTGGGGGTCAAGCCATAGGACACACCCAGGTAATCCAAGCGTTCAGCAGGCCTCTCATTCAGTTTGAGGAGTAAGGGAGGCAAGTCCTTCCGGGGAGTGATGACCTCTTCCAACAAGCTGACAGCCTACAGGACGTCAGGAAGAGAACACAGTCCACCCAGTAAAGGGAGAGGAAGCTTAGTAACATTCCCAAGCACCCCTACCATACCAGGCTCTGACCTAAACACAGTAAAAACTGGGACAGATTTCTCTGTTCCCTGGATTTTAAAATAGAGGCACACCACTCAGTCCAGTGATCATTTCCAAGTATACCAAACACCTGGATATGCATGAAACCACACCGCTCCAAACCCAGAATTCAGGAAAATAGCCACGTGATTTAAAGAGAGACAGAGGTGGGGTTCCGAAGATCCAGTTCTGTCATCAGATGGGTCTGGGACTTGGGAAGTAACAAACCGCTGAGCCGGACCTTAAATACAAGGCCCTTCCCCACCTCCTGAATGGGCTACTGTGAAAATCAAGTGAACGTGTGTGAAAAGCCATCACAGTTCCTGGCGTTTATCACCTTACCAAGAAAGACACAACTTCCCTTAGACCCGGCTCAGTGCTGGGCGGCTGTAAGCTGGAGCACGCAGCGGCATTACCTAGGAGCTGAGACACAAACCGCTGGGCCCCACTCCTGACCCTCTGAGCCAGCATGACTGGGGGCAGGGCTTAAAAACCGGCATTTTTAAAACAGGTTTCCAGGTGATACTGATAATGCTGATCTGAGGTTCTCAACACCAGTGGCAGCTGGAGAAGCAAGAGCTTCTCCAAAACAGGAGGAAATCTGCTGGTGCTCAGACAGCCCAGACCACTGGACAGTTCTAGATGCTCCTGACAACTATCCTCCAGGAACAAGGAGTTCGGCCAAAAGATGCTTACCTCGCTGCTGACGGTACGAATTTCTTGTGACGTCTCAAGGACCTTTTCCTCGAGACAAGGGAATCTGCCCTCAAAGTACATCTGCAGCAGCTGCAGAGCTCGGCTGCCGTAGCCCATCTGTGAGCAAACATGGAGGGAGACAGACAAGGAAGAGAATGTTCTCAATCTGTCTAAATCACCTCTACGTCCCTGAACTCCTTCCAGAAAGCCTTCACTCTGAGTCACAGTACACTTGGCAAAGAGAATTAATGAAATCCCTCAAAGAGGTCCGAAGAGAGACCCTTAAGAGTGAGCATGCTATGACCCTCACTCTCACACCATCTAGCCTGAGCCTGAGGATGGCTGGCTGGGCTTTCTGATCCATAGACTAGCAAGCCCCAAACTGATATCTCCACAACGGACTCCCCAGTGGGGATTTCTTTTTTTTTTTAATTTTTTTTTATTGTTTATTTTTTGAGAGAGTGAGAGACAGAGTGTGAGCCGGGGAGGGACAGAGAGAGGGAGACACAGAATATGAAGCAGGCTCCAGGCTCTAAGCTGTCAGCACAGAGCCCAACATGGGGCTCGAACCCACAAACCATGAGATCATGACCTGAGCCGAAGTCAGACTCTTAACCGACTGAGCCACCCAGGCACCCCGGCAGTGGGGATTTCTAAGAGGAGGTAACGGTGAAAAGTAGGTCAGGTTCACAAGAGCTCTGTCCTCACAAAAGAAAAGCAAGCATATACAATCATCCTGCCCACTCGCCACCCCCAGCCCCAGGAAAACTGTTCATGGCAGAGGAGTTCCTGGAACTGCTTATTCCTTGACCAGCCTTCCAGTCATACCACCAAATCCACCTGCCCTCACAAGCTGCTCCAAACCCAGCTAATAAAGCATCGAGTTTGAGAAGCATGAGGACATATTACCCCTTGATAATCCGGGTGAACAGCAATGCGAACAACCCTTCCACCTGAAAGGCCACCGAAGTCTGGGTCTTGGAACTGTGTGGGAGACACAGGGCAGTACGTGAGCAACAAAAAAGTCCTCCAACACCGCCAACTTCACTCACTCAGCCATACCAGGGAAAGTGCAGCACCTGTTCGGACACGGTCCATGGAATCAGGTCCCCCGAAGCCTTCTTGCCTCGAGACAGGCTGTTCAAGATGGACTGGCGAGAAATCTCCCCCTCCAGGCACACCTATGGGGGAAGCAGGACGGTGTAGTCAGAAAGGCCAGCCCAGGTACAGAGCCCACTCACAGATCATCAGCATTCTGCTAGTTCCCTGACGAGGCCAGCTGTTTCCACTCCAGTTCCAGCTTCACCCTGTAACTGACTTCCATTTTCAGTGGAACAGTCATTACTCTGCCCCAGGAGCATCCGGACACTGTCATAACAAGGTAGAACACAGAAAAACTCTGGCCCAAAGCACAGAAACTACACTAGAAGAGGGTCTCCACACAATGTGCACATGTGCAAACATCAATTAAGACACGGGACGCTCATGCAGCTCTGTATGAAATAGTGCAAATTCACGACTCTAGTGTCTAAAAGGAGAATGGTTATACACGGTATGGTACATGCATAAATAATGCAGCCTTTAAAACCTTTAAAAACTATAGAAATTATGAAAAAAATAAAAACTACAGAGATTATGAATATTTGACACACTGCAAAAAAAAAAAAAAAAAAACCCAGACTACCAAACACTATGATCCCATGTTTCCATTTGTATTTTCTAATTTTAGAAGTACACACGTTGCTTTTGTAATAAGAGCAAAACAAATAAATCCTGTTTTAGGAGGAGCCGTAAATCAAAATACGAGCGGCCAGTTCCGACTTTCATCTATTCACCCATCAGTGGGGCTCTGGGTTTCTGTCGGCAGTGGTTCCCTTCCACACATCCTAACTGTCTGCCCCGGATGACCCAGCTACTTGGCTCTGCACCAGGAATCAACACTCCCCCTCCCAGGCCACAGTTACTGAGCCATTAATCCTTGATTCCTAAGTGGTTCTTCAAATGAATGCCAGCATACCTGGATGACAGCAAGCACTTCGGGAAGGGCATTCTGGGTGGGGGGCACCGGGGGCAGGAGGCAGAACAGAAGGTGGGCAGGCGCATCAGAAAGCATCTGGAGATCGTTGGGGGAGTTCTGTGGGGCACAAATACGGGTCCATGAGAACCACTCCTCTTGTCCTTTACTCAAGAGGCCACTCCGGAGTCACTGACTGGAGCACCACCTTCCCCAAAGCCAAGTGGCGAGCTGAAACTTGGGGAAGCTCTTTTCCAGCATCTTGGCCGCCAGCCTGAGACCCTCCGAGATGGCCTATGTGGGACTTCGCCTCAAATGTTTGCTGTCATCTCTCCACGAGCGCTGAGGCTGCAGAGGGCAGAGGACTGCCTAGTTAGCACTGTGTAGTTCACAGCGGGGGAGTGAACTTGTCACTTCCCAGAGAAGAGGCTATCTCAAGAAAACCTATCACCACTTCTAGCACCAACTCTTCAGCCTCCCATTAAGGGGTGTTCACAAAAATGCTACCTAGATACTCAAGAAATGTCCTTCCCAATGTGCCCTTTAGTTTTGAAGACTCTCAAATATTCTAAATTTGCATCCAGTGCTCCTTAAGAATAGCCCGGGGCGGGGAGTCCTGGGGGGCTCAGTTGGTTAAGTGTCCAACTTCGGCTCAGGTCACGATCTCACGGTTTGTGAGTCTGAGTCCCACGGCAGGCTCTGCTGTTAGCACAGAGCCCGCTTTGGATCCTCTATCCCCCTCTCTCTCTGCCCCTTCCCGACTTGCGTGCATGCATGCTCTCTCTCTCTCTCTCAAAAATAAACGTTTGAAAATAGCCCAGAGGTAAAAGGCTGGGCTGGGTCAGTCAGCACCACCAGGTAACAGCTGCTACATCATCTGAGTCTATCTGATTAGCAGACAAGGGAAAGATAGAAGAACCCGTTTTAAAACAGGCAAAGCTTTCCACCCTCCCCACCCACCAAGTATGGAGTTACGTGCAGGAATCCCACACTCCGTGTGCAAAGCTAGGAGCCCAAGACAGGCCTGAACAACCATGGGAAATGCAATCCCTCCGGCAAAGTCAGTGGACCTTGACAACATCAGGACATTTAAGTCCCAATAGAATAGTCACCTGAGCCACTGGGGAATACAAGACATGGAAAGCCGGTAAAGGGAGACTGTCAGAGCTGCAGTTCACCCACTTCAGCCAGCTGCAGTTACCTTGTAGTGAGAAGCCACATAGAGGGCCATAAGCCTTTGGAGGAAAACTTCGGAGGCCTTGTGGTAGCAAAAGAGAGTATCTCTGTTAACGTAGTAGCTGGGTCTGGAGTTAAGCAACCAAAACAAACCAAAGAGAGCGCAAAATAGGACACACTGCTTCCAAAGGGAAACCTGGATATGTAGATGTCCCTCAGATTAGAAGGAAGAGCCCTGTGTCCTGCACAGCACACATTAGGGAAGGAAAAGAAAGGAAATGGAGAATGTCTAACTTTCCCCCTCTCCTTCGAGCAGCAGCCTATGAAACAAAGGGCCAAAACCGAATTCTTCCATCACCCCCCTCCCTTCACTGGGCACAGAACCCGGGAGGATACAGCTCGCAGGCCTCAGGCAGGGGGCAGCCTGAGACTATCCGGGGGATGTTGAGGCAATCCAGGCACAACAAGTCGTTCAGCCACTGCTCCACCGCGTCCCCGGGGGCGTATCGGATGGACTCCTGCAGGGAAACCTCATGCAGCGTTCGCGCTGCTCCCCACAACACACACACACACACACACACACACACACACACACACACACACAATGAGAAACAATTATTAAATGTGTTTGTCTAAAAGAGCAAAGCAAATGTTCTACTTTCTCTTTGTTACCTGATGCCCACATAAATACAGCTTAAAGATTTTAACTGAGTGGTTTTAAACTATTCTGGGGGATGTTCAATTTGCCATGACACTGATCCCACAGGGATCTAAGTCAATGTGACCGTGCCCTAAGGCAGTAACAAACAAGGGCCCAACCCAGAAGGCCTGGGTCAGTCTCCCATCTGGTCACTGGCTTGCTATTCCTTGGGGAAAGCAATTCCCCTTCCTGGGGACCCAGCCTTCGTGCCTGACAGTATGACAGTTTGGTACTGCCTGTGGTGGCATGAGGAGATGATCCAGCAAGAGAATCTGTGGGGACCTGCCATGGACGGGCCCATTCAGAGCTCTGGGGGTACCTGATGCCAGTCTGGCTGTCGCTGTGGCCTTGTTTTCAGCAGTGGTGCTGATCTGGCTCTGGGCGCTCTGTTGACGGAGCTGCTGAATCAGCTTGAGGGACAGGGACCGGCCAGTGCCCTCGTAGCTAGGAGCAAAAGCAAAGGCCATCAGGCATGAATGAGGTTCCAAATCTACTCTCCAGGAGAGGACAGAGGACCACCTCCCTCATCCTGCTGAAAAACCAAGCTCCTGCTCACCGCTGACAGCCCCACTGCCCTTCTAGACTTCCAGCAGGGCATCCATACACCCAAGGAGGCAAGGTGGCCAGGTCGGTGGCTCAGCTGGGGGCTGGCAGTGTGGCTCAAGTGTGGCACATCTACTCAGTACCTCTGGGCAAAGAACTCACACTCACTTTTAGCCTCATCCTCAAAAGGGGATTATTCTACACACCTCACAGGATCATGCTGTGAACTGAAAGGACTGGAAAGATGATGTGTAAAGCATTCAGCATAATGAACTGAACTACATTAAATGGTCCGTGAGTGAGAGCCACTGAAGCAACATGCTTGAAGGCAGGCAGAGAGTGCTTCCAGTTTGGAAAATCAAGACTGAATAAACCAATAAACCACCACTTAGTAATTCCTTTCATCACTACTTTCACTGAAAAGGTGACATAAAACAACTTAACAAGAATTTTGGAAAAAAAGAAATCATCAGATCACTGAGCCAGCTCTTCTCATCTGGATTTCCTTCTTTAGTCACAGCCCCAGGGACCACAGGGGGCAGACTGCTCAATGGGTTTGTTTTTTTAAAGTAGGCTTCGGGGCGCCTGGGTGGCACAGTCGGTTAAGCGTCCGACTTCAGCCAGGTCACGATCTCGCGGTCCGTGAGTTCCAGCCCCGCGTCGGGCTCTGGGCTGATGGCTCAGAGCCTGGAGCCTGTTTCCGATTCTGTGTCTCCCTCTCTCTCTGCCCCTCGCCCGTTCATGCCCTGTCTCTCTCTGTCCCAAAAATAAATAAACGTTGAAAAAAAAAAAAATTTAAAGTAGGCTTCATGCCCAGTGCAGAGCCCAATGTGGGGCTTGAACTCATGACCCTGAGATCAAGACCTGAGCTGAGATCAAGAATCACATGCTTAACCAACTTTGCCACCCAGGCACCCGGGTCTTTTTAATCCAGTATTGCAACACTTCGTAGTACTCACTGTGGTCATATTTTAAAACTGTATAAATACTTCCTCTCATTCAAATACTATTTTTAAAGAAGAATTAAAAACTTGGAATTTTGGGGGCACCTGGGTGGCTCAGTCGGTTAGGCGTCTGTCTGACTTTGGCTCAGGTCATGATCTCACGGTTTGTGGTTCGAGCCCTGCATCAGGCTCTGTGCTAACAGCTCAGAGCCTGAAGCCTGCTTCAGATTCTGTGTCTCCCTCTCTCTCTCTGGCCCTCCTCTGCTCATGCTCTGTCTCACTCTCTCTCTCAAAAATAAATAAACATTAAAAAAGAAATTTTGAAAAAAACTTGGAATTTTTGAGTGTTTTATTCTGCCCCACCTCACAGAACAAAGCTTCCTCGAAGGAATTTCATTTACTTATTTAAAAAAGAAGAAAAACAAGTAAGCACAAGCAACAAAACAGACTTTTATGCTTCAAAAGGCATTATCAAGAAAGTGAGGAAAATAACAGAATGGAATAAAATTTTTGTAAATCAAGCATCTGATAATGTATTTGTACCTGGAATACATAAGGAACACTTACAATTCAATAATAAAAAGACAAATAAGCCAAATAGAAAAATGAGCAGAGGATCTGAATAGCTATTTCTCCAAAGAAGACACACAAATGGCAAAGAAGCACATGATAAGATGCCCCACATCACCGCCATCAGGAAAGTGCACATGGAGACCATAACGAGACGCAACTTCATGCTCACGAGGATGGCTATAATCAAAAAGCCGTTAACACACATGCTGGCAAGGATATGGAAAACTTGGAACCCTCGTACGCTGCAGGTGGGAATTTAAAATGGCGCAGCTGCTTTGGAAAACACAGTCTGCCAGTTCCTTGAGCAGTTAAACATAAAGTTACTATCTGACCCAGTAAATTCACTCCTAGGTATATACCCAAGAGCACTGAAAACACGTCCACGCAGATAACCTATCTACACACCCATGTTCACAGAAGCATTATTCCTAACAGCCAAAAGATAGAAATAACCCAAATGTCCATCAACACATAAATGGAAAAACAAAATGTGTATAAACATATAATGGAGTATTACTGGGCCATAAAAAGGAAGGAAATACCGATAAAAGATACACTGATGAACCTTGAAAACATTATGGTAAATGAAAGAAGCCAGTCACAAAAGACCCTGTACTGTATGGCTCCATTTACATGAACTGTCTAGAATAGATAAATTTATACAGAGAAGGTAGATGAGTAGTTCCCTAAGGCAGGGGATTAGGGACAGACTGGAGGGTGACAGGTAAAGGGTATGGTTTTTCTTTTGGGGGTGATGAAAATGTAAAATTGATTATGGTGCTGGTTGCACAACTCTGTACAGATCTAAAACCTAAAAATCACCAAATTATACACTTGATGTGGGTAAAACTGTATGGTATACGAACTGTGTCTCAATAAAGCCGTTAGCGAAAAAAGTAAAATCCATTTTATTTAAATATTTTCAGTGTAAGGAAGACACAATAATACATCTGTAATACAGAATTCTCTCTTTAAGAAGATGTGATTTCCACACAGAAATCTTTCCAATACTGAAGATACATATTTATTGACCTGGAAAGAGTTCACAAAATATTGTTACGTTAAAAAAGAAAATTAAAAGCAATATGTAAAGTATATTTACATTCTTGTTCAAAACAAAAAAGTAAAACGAACACAAAGAAAATATACAACAAAAGCTACCTCTAAGGGCGCCTGGGCGGCTCAGTCGGCAGTGGGTTAAGGGTCTGACTCTTGATTTCCAGCTCAGATCATCATCTCACACTGGGCTGGGTGTGGAGCCTGCTAAAGATTCTCTTCCCCTCTCCCTCTGCCGCCTCCCGCCCCCCAGCCTAACAAGCAAGAACCGGCAAGGGGAGCAAGGACTCCCACTCCAGGTGCTTACCCGTTGATGGTGGATGCCATGAACACAAGGTAGGGGCCCAGGAGGCTTTTCACCAGGGGCAGGGGGATGGCGGCGGCTTCATCGATCACAACGAGCTCAGCCTGGCCCAGTTTCACAGCATCTGCAGGATGTATATACTGCAGGGAGGAAGATTTCTATTATTACCTGGCCACCCAGTGCCATAGCTGTGGTCCCCATGACGCCTCATAAAGGCCACTCTGTCCTCTCTCGCTCCGTTCCCAGTTCTTTCTCCCATTCCTCCTTTCCACTTTTCCGTGGCAGGGCAAACCAGAATGAGCTTGGAGCCAGACATCTGGGTTCAGAAGTTCAACCACCAACTGTGTGCCCCTGAACAGGTCACTAACCCTCACGGCCTCAGACTCCTCTCCTGGAAAGTGGAGGAAATACCTATCTGACGGCTGCTTGAGAGAAAAATCGGGTAAATCTGGAAAAATGCCCTGGCTGGTGCCTGGCCTAGTACTCATAGGTGGTGCTGCCCTCTCCTTTCTCTCTTCTGTCTCCTCATGCTCCCCCCCCCCCCCAGCCTGGCTCCGACTTTGCCCCAGAGGCGGCAAATGGGATGACATCACCATTCTCAAGCACCTGCTACACACTGGGTACCGCGCTCCTTGCGTGGATACTGTCATTAGGAAAACCAACTCTCCCCGCACTGGTGAGGATGCTTCTAAGACGCCACCCCTTCCTAATACACACACTCACACACCCTTATTTATATTATTAGCATGGCCACCTGATGCCACAAAAAATTTGGCACCCTTATGCATACAAACCACCCCTTCAGTTTCTTCAGGGCTTCCTGCTATTTTTAAAGTTTGCTCAAGGCCATGAAGAGGGATTTTACAGGACAGGAAACCTGAACAGCCAATTAACATAAACAAAGACACTCAACCTCACTAGTAGTCAGTGCAATGCCAAAGACAACAAGGAGATCCCATTTCACATACAGGTAGGTAAAAATTAAATAGCAATAAAACACCCAGTGCTGATGAGAACTTGAAGAAACAAAACTTAAAAAAAAAAAAAAATGCTGTTGGGAAGGTAAACAGGTACACTTTTTAGAAGGAGAATCTGGCAAAATCCAAGAGAGCTGGAAATCTATTCATACCCTAAAAACCGAGAGCTCCCCTCATCCACCCCTAGAACATCAATAAATGGTAATATAAACATAGAGTGCTTAAACTCAACCCAAGCCACAAGCTTCAATCTTGGACAAATCTTGAAAACAAATGCTGAGTAAGAAAGGCAGGCTGAAAAAGGACAAGTACAGCATGTTACCATTTATGGAGGCATAATTACATAGTAAAACACAAACATGTGAATCAGAAGGAAATCCCAATCCAGAGTAGAGCTAACTATAGGGAGGGGCAGAAGAAGGGAATGTGATGCGGAGGGGTAGAAGAGGGGCTTCAACTGTGTCTGTGATGCTTTCAGTCTTTAAAACAAAACTAAAAAGGACTTTTAAAATACGAAAGAAACACAGCAAACAACAAAATGTCAACATTTCTAAGGCTTAAGTGCCAGGTATCTGAGTGTTTCACTGATCTCTGCACTTTTCTGAAGTATTTCATTACAAGATCATCTAACTGCTTTGCTGGAAGCTGAATGATAGGTCAGGGAGACAGCAACTCCACTTAGTTAGAACAGCGGAACACACACCCTCGGCTGGGCCCCATGTCTTGGGACTCTTAAGGGGAAAAACTAAACAAGCACCTCATAAAAGCAGCAGAAAGCAGCCCCCTGAAGAGGCGCAGCCGACTTTAATCTAATGTTTGTCTTTTTCTCAATTTCCAGCAAGGAAGAGGAGGCTTCCAAGGGACACAAATGGAGCCTCATAAAGTCAGGTCACCTCTTCTGGGCTTAAACTCCAGTCTGGAGACAAAGGGACTCTGGCAATACAAGCAGGTCTCTAATTACAAATCCAAGGAGCAGCAGGGCTGAGCCTGGGCATTTCAGAGAAAAGTGTTCCTTCCTTGGTTTGTGTACTTTTGAGTTTTAACAGGTCGCCGCACTCTCCCTGCGGCCTCCTGCCCTCCACCTCACCCCACCCCGCCATCTGTACCTCCCCCAACCTCAGCCAAGGGCGTCAGGCAAAAGTGGAAGAAACTAAAGAATGAAGAGATTCTAGAAAGAGACCTAGTAAGAAAAAATTAAGCTCCTTAGATCAAAAGTATAAACACTTACCATTATTTACAATCTGGACCTTTGATAAAAGAAATACCTCCCTGACAGGCATACATACATATGCTTTAACGAGCATAAAGGTCAAAGACATAAACTGCCAAGTGTGCCTGGCCCATTTCCCACCCCGACCCAAGTCCGAAAATAATCGATGAGCCTCCTCCGCTAGGAGCCCAGCGGCCCCCATCCTTTCTGCAAGCCTGTCACACTGATGCTTTTCTACAACTGAACAAAATTGCAGCCTTTGGACAAGTGCAAGCCATTCAGGCCTCCAGAGCACTGGAGATTTATAGAGCTTCCAGGGAAACACTGTTTAAAAAGGAAAATAGGCCACTGGCTAAACCACAAAGAGTCAGAGTACATCTTGCAAAGTTCTTTTTTTCTTTTAAACGGAGAGATTATTGTTCTAGTTACAGATGCACCATTTCAAAACCTGCTGTAACCCAGCAAAATGAGAACTGATGTCAGAACAGTGACTGTATTTCTTCTAGCCGCTTAGCATACTCACAAATACACTTACTCAATTTTCAAGGGATAAAACTACAACTTTCCATTCTGGCTACATACATTATTTGTTAGTTTGCTTGAATGTCTTCGTTGAGAAGAGGCTGAAAATCTGGACCAGGTTTATCATAAAACAACAACACTGTATACAAGACATGCAATTGCACAGGACATAAAATGATGTGAAATTACTGTATTTAAATACAGCAGGACACTGGCCCCACTTAGCAGGGTTTTAGAATGAGCCTCACCTGAATGGTCTGCCTGTGTTCTCGGAATACATTCACTCTGATCACTGCTTTGTTAAATTCAGGATTGAGAGACTGAATAATCTCATAATCCAGATGCTCCTGATGGAAAGAGAGTCAAACCAATGACAAACTTTAGAAACAAGCTTTAGAAGTGAAAATTAAAGTAAGCAGGCATCCCAAAGATTTTACCTAGATTAAACCCAGCTCTGAATCAATGGGAGTTCTTTCTAATTCCCTACCTGATACTGCAGAGCGTCAAATCCTTTAAATACAAATTCAAAAAGAGTGTGGAGGTTATCAGGGCTTGGGGAGGTAACAAAGATGTTGGAGTACCTATTGAACAAAAGAAGAGAACTTTTATAAGTCATTAGGAAATCCAAGGGACTTTTAGGGAACATTAAGAGGAAAGAAGAGATTTTTGTTCGCCCTATCACACAGGTGATAACCAGAGATAATGGCAGGAAAAAAGAACACTTTTTAGGAAGGAAAAGTAAAGCAACTCCAGTTTTGAGGATATTTTTCCTCCCAAACTAACGAAAACACATTAACAACTCGAAGGTAGTATGTCCTGGCAATTAGCTACGACATCTATGAAGGCACACTGCCCAAAGGTGCCTGGACACAACGCCCTCAGTGTGCAGAGCCAGCATGCTGCTTCCCAAGCCTGTGTCCTGGGACAAGAGGGTGGCTTCACAGTCATCACTGGCTGTGTTGAGAGGGTTCCAAACTGTGAGGCCAGATAGCTCAATCAGTGCTCAGGCCAAGGCCACAGTGAACCTGCAGGGGACCCCTGTTCAGTGTAAAGGATGCTAACGGCTAAGGTGTTGATTGGTACCACTGGAGCAGCAGGGACAAGAGACAAGTCAGGGCTTGGGCTCAGCCCCAGCACTACCAGCACTGACTTGCTGGGGGATCTTGAGTGAGTCACTGAAACTCCCTGAGCCTAGGTTGACCCATCTGTGAAATGCTTACGGAGCTATTAGGAGCACCAAGGAAGATAACGCATATGAGGACATGGTAAATTCTAGATCCATTATTTCTGACTGCGAAGTTGGAAGTACATGCTCTTCTGGCAACTGCATAAATCTTCCACCCAGGACAAAAAACACTCAAATGTAGATCCTCAAAAGCAAACAAGATTTTCTACTGATCAAAATCATTCAAATGCCAAACCTGTACTTTTCGCAGTTAGCAAACATGGTCATACACATTCCCATCTCCTGAAGAGTTTTAACATTTCTTTGCTTTTCTATGTCTGTCCAACTTTCTGTGTGTATCTGTTCAACTTTAAATATTGATCACGAAGGTCCTGGTGTATGTGTCCACGTGTGCCTGCACACATATATGTGCCCCATGGGGCTGGGGCTGGGGCTGGGTGTGCTTGGGGGAAACGGTATTGATGTTTTCCAGACCAGAACCCACGACCTACAGAAATCACACAGGAGCCTGCACAGACCCAGGAACAGTTTCCTAGTCCCCTGACCCCTATCCTGCACATTTCTCCCTGAGAGCTCAGAATTCCCAAAGAGGGGGAATCAGACCTCCTTACCCAAAAGCCACTGCCCCAGCAATAGCCAATCCCAGGGCTGCAGACTTCCCCCTTCCTCGGGCAGCCGTGAGCGCAACAGTACTCCTCAGGGTCTTTTCAGAGATCCCCTCAATGAACTTCAAGACAGCTTTGGCCTGTGAAAAGAGAACCCTATCAGGTGAGCTTTGAGAAAGACCAAGTTTCAGCCATCTACTACTACCACTGTGGAGAAGCTGAGGCTAAATCAAAGTGGGGGCAGTTCCTGCAGGAGGCAAGGCTTAGCACTCGGGCTTCTCACTGCCTGGTCATCTCCTCTCAGGCCCAAGGCTTTAAATGCCCCTCAGATGCTGGTAACACCCCATTCATGTCTCTGGTCCAGACCTCTTCCCCACCCATCAAACTCCTGTATACACACAACTGCCCCTGTGTGTCTACCCTTGTACATCAGACAGGCTTCTCTGACTGACCTGAGGGGAACCCAGTGTCCCCCTCCAGTCTCCTCCATCTACAGTCTTCCCCTTGTCAGTTAACTGTCCAACTGATTAAGCCAAAAGCCTTCTCCATTTTCTCCCCACACTTGACTCACCAGCAAAGCCCATCAGCGCTACCTTCAAAATATGTATAAATCCTACCATTCCTCACCAGTGCCATCCTCTACCGGGCTGATTGAAGCCACTATCCTGAATCCCCCTCTTACTACAGTAGGCTCCTAGTTAGTCTTTCGGCTTCCCTTTTGTTCCCCTACAGTCTAGACTCAACACAGCAGCCAGAGGGATCTTTTTTAAAATTCAGCCTAAGAATCCCTCCAGCAGCCGGGCTGAGACACTGTGCATGTGAAACCCTCCACGGCACCCACCTCTCAGAGAGTAAGGCCAAGCCCTCGGGGTCACGTGGCTGTGCCGTGTGACCTCCGTCATCTCCTCCTACTCTCATCTGCTCACTCTGCTTCACCCCTGGCGGCCTCCTTGCTGGTCCTCGAGTACCCCAGGCAGACTCCTACCTCGGGCCTATGCAGACGGTGGCCCCTCTGCCAAAAGCACTCTCCCCAATGGCCCCATGGCTCATTTCCCCAACTCCTTCCAGGCTTTGCTTGAGGATCACCTTCTAAACAAAGCCTCCCAGAGCCGCAGCCTCTACCTATCTCCTGCAGCCCCGACCCCTCTTTGATGCCCTGTGTCCACACTGCACACAGCACCTTCTACTACACTTCAGGATGGGCGGGTTTCCTTGACTCACGGTCAGTCTCATGCCACCAGAACGTAAGCCCCACGAAGCAGGTGTGCCCCTCCTTTTTACTGTTGAGCCCAGTGCCTAGGGTCATGTCAGGCACCTAAGAGAGCAGGCACTGAGTGAGAGGAGAAACCACAACACTACTTAGGGGCCCAACTCTACTACCCGACTGGCATCTGCCCTGGGAACAAGCCACCAAGACTGGGAAGAAGACCAGATGGTCCAGCCTGGCCTGTCAGGTCCTGCAGTTGCCTTATACACCCAGGCAGCAACACTAAGAAGACACTGAAGAGACACAAGCCCAGGCAAATGGAAGGGAAGGAAGAGGAAGAGCTCCAGGAAGCCAGAGTCTCTCCAGAGGAAACAGTCAGGGGATCCAGGCCCAGCTCATCTGAAGGTGGCCTTTGTTGAACACCGTATTTTGCCCTTTTGTTGTTCTGAGAAGTTTTAAACTCCGACAAAACATAACCAGAAAAAATCCACTATTAAAAAAGAAGAGTAAGAATAGAAGAGTAAGAAATCTGAACTGAAAACGCATTCTAAAATAATTTGCTAAAATGAAAAACCAATACACAAACTAATTTACAAAACAAAAAGACCCAGATGACCAGTAATTACATGATAAAGTGCCTGCTTCTCTCATAATTAAAGCAATACAAACAAAAACAGGGATCCTGTGTTCCCACAGCACATTGGTAGGCTTGGAAGTTTAACTGTAGCCAACGCTGGCAAGGCATACGGAAAAGGGCATTTTCACACACTGTTGCTGGTTCCACAAACTGGCACGACACCTATTTTAATGCACACACAATCTAATCCAGCAACTCTTCTGGGAAAAAAACTTATCCCAGAGATAATGCGTATCTGTAAGAAGATCCTAACAGCACAGTTTATAACAGCAAAAAAACTGCAACCAACCAACCCAATGCCTAATAGGGGATCACTTACACTGTACAGTGTAACCCCTCCACGTATTTTTAAAATATCCATTTGTATGCGTAGACAAAGTTCCAGAAGTATCCAAAATAAACTGTTAATGGCAGTTGTCTCTACAGAGCGGGACTGCCAAGTAGAAACACCATTTTCCATTTTTAACGAACACTCTTTCACACTCAGTGTTTTTTTTTCTACGTATTTTCTTATAACACTCCTGCTGCTTTTACAGCTTCTCCCTCTTCTGCCCTTTCTCCATCCTCTTGCATTTCCTCTGACAAAGAATATCCCAGACTGGATTCAAAGCCATCTAAAGCCCGCAGCCTCTGCATAGAGAGCTATGTGGCTGATAATTCTATTTCTAGAATGAACAAGGGAATCAGCCTGTTGGGATTCTGCCCCAAGTGGGACGTGTCACTGCAGCTGTTTTCCATCGTGAGGGAAGAGTCCAGTGCCAAGAGGCTCACGATCAGAATCCTGAACGCACCTGACAAACTGAAGGCTTCTGGGCACTGCCCGGTCAGCTCTGCTCACCCCAGAAACCAGGAGAGAATCCGAGTTTACCAGCCCTGGCCACCTCCGTGAGCACAGAAATGCACTCTGGAAGCTCCCACCCAGTCTGTTATCTGTACCTACCCTGGAGGGCCTTATCAGGCCTCACTCTGGAACTAGAGTAAGTACAAGGGGCCTCAGGCTCTCCTCTCATTTCTATGCAAGGCATAGGCCAAAACCTTCATGTCATCAAAACTGAACTGAAATGCAGTAATACAGATACATCACCCTCTCTTGGAAAAAGCACTGGGGGTTCCTCTTTAAATTACATCCATCTTCCCCCCAGACCCTCTACTCAAGGAATTAATGACCTGGGGTGAAGGGGGACATAATCTCTGGACTTGCCATGAACGCAGATGACAGAGACTAGCCCTGGTGTTGCTGCAGGGGTTCAAGCAAGAGAAAAGGTCCCTTCCCCAAGGAGGATCCAAATCCTCACTTGTCCTAACTTGGCTTCCGCTGCTTTCTGCCATGTTCTATTTTACCTCTGCCCTGTCTATACTGGAACAGGGAAGTTCGGAACACCACACTCACCTGGTCTAGGGTCTTGCAGCAATCCACCAACACGCCCACGGGCTGGGTGTCCTGCAAGCTCTCCTTCAACTCCTTCAGCTCCAGATCAGAAGGACCAAGACTCTCATCCTACCAGAGAGGAGAGGACAAGATCTGCCACTGCCACGAGAGGGTCCACACAAAAAACACGGCCTCACCCAGATTCCTGGACCCCTGGCTGACTCACCGGGGTCTGGGGAGGTAGGGCCTCAATGCTGGCAGCGTGGGAGGAGATGGGCAGGATGCTGAGCTGGTCATCGATGACAAGACACTTCTTACAAGAGGCCAGAGAGAGAATAAATCTGAGGAAGAAAACCGTAATGAGGCGTTGGGGGGAGGGGCCGATACATGATAAAGGTGTGGCTTTTCCTGAGGAAAATGATTTGATGCCCACACGTCTCTAAGAAAGCTAGAAAGAGCCAAAACCCAGCTGGAGAGCAGGGTAAGAGGACTCTGAGCCTCGTCTACAAGGCACCTGAACACATTCTATACGGCAAACAAGAAAACCCAGAACTCTCTCTCGAGACGGGTTACAAGCATTCCTACTGTGCACAACTGAGTCATAGGGCCCTTCCCACACCTCTGAGGCTCACCCTTTGAGGACTGAGCTGTCTCAGGCCATCCTTAAATGGGGAATTCCTACCCCACTCCACAAATGATCACCAGTCACAAATTTACCTTCTGCCACAAAGGAAGAAAAAACAAAGAAAAGGGAGAAGAAAGCTGCCTCAAGAAATGTAACACAGACATTCCCATGTGCAGGAAAACATGTGTTTGGCTAGAGAAGTCAAACTTCTCCCACAGGTGCAAGAAGAGAACCTCACACGCTACTTTCACAGGCTTCCCTTCTATCCAGCAGCACACGGCCGCCCCCCCTGGCCTACTCCATCTACTAAATGAAAACACCAGAGAGGATTCAAACTGGAAAGGCCCCAAGCTTCACCGAGGCCAGGATTTCTAAACCTCAGCACCAGCAATATTTCAGACCAGATGATTCTTGGTTGTGGGATTGTTCTGTACATTTTAGGCTATTTAGCAGCACCCCTGGCCTCTACTCACTAGATGCCAGTAGCGCCCCCCAACTCCCTCCCCCCCAAGTCATGACAAGCAAAAGGTTTCCAGGCATCGCCAAATGTCCCCAGGGAGCAAGACTGCTGTAGATGAGGACCACTGATCCAGGCCACAGCTTCTTCAGGTGTTTCACAGGCTGCTAACTGATGCTCCCTAAAAAAGGGCTCTATGGTCAAATAAATCTGGGAAACAATCAGTTAAATAGATCCCTGCTGTTGCAACACTTTTTGGAGACCACAACAGGCTAACGTGAATCTTCACATAGGAAAAACTGTATCAGCGTTTCCCAGACGTATCTAGCAGAAACCCTTTTGACATAAAGTCCCTCTTAAAATACTGGTGTTCTGTGAAACACATTTTGGGAAACAGTGATCCAGACAAATCACCCCTTTGACAGATGAGTAAGCTAAAAGCCAGAGAGGAGAGTGACTTGGTTCAGGCCCCAGCTCCCCACTCACTTTCACTGCTTCCAGTTGGCTTCACCACCACCACTGCTGTCAGGAATCTCACCATTTTGGACCCCTGTGCTACCTTCCCTCAGACAAAAGCACCGCTTTCATCTGGGTCCAAGACAAAAATATTCTCTGCACCGCGGCTCCCCACAATTAAGGACCCGAGAAATGTGCTTCAGACCTACCTCTCGTTAAACCGTCCCACCACATCCTGATGGGCCTCCGTCCTGTATCTTGAATGCACGTCCTGAAAGAGACAACATCTGTGAACACAGACATCCCAACAGCGCTGTGGCTCGCGGTCCAAATGTGAAGCAGCTTTATCAAGCAAGCCTGGGATAAGGAGGCGCCAGAGCTACTGCTGGAAACCCACTCCTCCAGAACCTGCTGTGCTGAACAGCCCAGCTGCTATTTGCTGGAACTGGGATGGATCATCAAATGCTAAAGGTAATGTTTTTTATTACAACAAACATCCCCTCACCTTGGCTTTGACTTTTTCCACATTTTATCCAGCATCATAAAATGTGTTCGTTCATTCATTCAATAAAACACACATACCAACCGTGAACCAGACATGCCGGGTATACATCGGTATTCAATAAAGCAGGACCTCTGTTCTCATGGGGTCTACAGTCTAACGGTCAGAGGGAAACGAGTAAAAAAAAAAAATAAATAAAAATCTGGCAAATGCTCCAAATGAAAAACAATGTGCAGTGACAGCAAATGGCAGGAGTGTGGCTACTTACGTGGTGTACCTCTGAGGTGAGAAGCAGGCAGCAGGGAAAAGGGGGAAGGAGGACAAACAAACTGATGTGGGCAAAAAGTCATTCATTCATTCACAAGTATTTAACAAGTGCTCACTAAACACCAGGCACTCTTCCAGAATCAGGGAATGCACCAGTGAGGAAAACTAAGTCCCTAACCTCATGAAGTTTACAGACCAGCACAGGGAGGCAGGCAACAAACAAATAAATATGTAACTTTAGGTAGCTGGCAGATGCTGTGAAGGAAAATCAAGCAGGTCAAGGAGTGACAGACAGAGTTGTCCCACAGAGGAGGGGGTATGTGGGCAGGGACATGAATGCAGTGAGAAGCGGGCTGTGCAGATATCCCAATGGCAACAGCAAGTGCACAGGCCATGAGGTGAGAGCATACTGAGCATGTCTGAGGGCCCCTGAGGAAGACAGAGGGGCTATAGGAGAAGCGGTGATGGGAAGCAGCTACTAAGATCTATGGAAAAGTCCATGTCCCCGCATAAACGCAGCTTGTGAAACCCTGAGGCCAATTCTAACGCCATTCCTGAGCAGGGCCACAGGCCTGTGACTAAAACCTGTCACAAGGAACATGCAAATGGCAATACTGATGGGGTCGCAGACTAGCTGTGAATCCACAGAGACATATTCCCACTCCTAACCATGTCCTCAGCTTTGGGTGGAAACTACCCCTCTCACAGTCAAATCTCTTGCCAAACTGGGAGTGGAAGTGGCAAATGTTCCTTCGTTATCCATTAGCATGAGGACTGGTGGGCAAGTCTGTGCATGGTCCCTTTTTGGTAATCCAAAATGGGGACACTGGCGTGGCTCTTTGCAGAATACCATTCCAGAAACGTAACTACCTAATAACTGCCACATACATGAATCTCACAGGTATAGAATTTACAAATACCTGCAAGGAAATATGAAATTCAGAGATGCCTGGGCACACTCAAGGTCACTGACTTTCTCTGCAGTGACGTTCTCATTACTTACAGTCAAAGAACTCCCAACCCAGACCTTGTGCTGACTGCTCACTAAAGCTGTTCAACAGGAATTTTTTTTTAACGTCTACTTACTTATTTTAAGAGAAGAGGAAAGAGTACACACAAGCAGGGGAGGAGCAGAGAGAGGAGACAGAATCTCAAGCAGGCTCCATGCTCAGTGCAGAGTCTGACATGGGGCTCGATCCCACAGTGAGATCATAACCTGAGCCAAAATCAAGAGTCGGCTGCTTGACCCACTGAGCCACCCAGGTGCCCCCTCCATAGGAACTCCTAAAAGAAAGTGGCAAACAGCAAAAACACACTTGATGTGAACCGCCACAACTCAGTTAAAAACCATATACCCACCATGGTCATTGTGTACAACTGCTTGAGCGAATTCATGGTCCGTAGGAGGATGACCACCAGCCCACCACCTTCCACTGTTTCCACAGTTCTGGCCAGTAAGTTTGGAGTTAAAGCTTCAAAATCCTGAAAGAAAGAGACCTCAAAAAGGGCTAGTCACAACAAAGAGCACCCCCGGGGAAGTTTAACTAAATAAAAGGAGGGCTTCTGAACACGAACCCAAGACCATAGCCCTCACTCAACTCACCAGGAGGGGCCCACACACCTCCCTTTACTTAGGGGCACAGAAGAGAGCCCAGCACTGGGCAAGAGGTGTACCCGGTTTTGTATGACAAAAGTCTGTCTAATAACCTCACACAAGATCCTATCTGGGAAGAAATCCTCTCCAGTGATTTGCACTTGTATTTCACAAATACCTCACGTTCGTTTTCGGATGTGTTTACATAAAACCTATCTGACAAAACTCAAACTGCCCCACATGGGGGAGCCGCTGCCTCAAGGAGCCATCTTCACTGCACCTGGTAACAGTGGTGGCCTAAGAGCACTCACTACCAATCAGTGGCCAGGTGAGAAGAAGCGAAATGCTCCTTTCTAGTCTACAAGGTGGGATGCAGGCCAGCAGTATGGGACAAGCAAGTGGAATGTAAGAAAAATAAACCAAAAAATTCCAATTCGTGATTTTTTCCCCTCATTCCTTTTTTTTTTTCTTTCCAAGATTTTATTAAAATCCAGTTAGTTAATATAGAGTATAAGGTTGGTTTCAGGAGCAGAATTTAGAGATTCTTCACTTACATGTAACACCCAGTGCTCATCCCAACAAGTGCCCTCTGAATGCCAAAACTATGCAATGCTTCAGGAAGCTGTGTGTCACCCTTGCACAGGGAGCGTGCTACTCCTCTCTGTGTCATTCCAGCTCTAGCATATGTGCTGCCAAGGTGAGCACTTTCCCCTCATTTCTTAACTTACCTTTCATAAGGTACAATTTATGACATACGTAATCCTGGTACTACACGCAAATGATAAACACGCACCAAAATTGGGGACGGGGGCTTAAATGTGTTCTCCTTTCGGGGTGGAGGGGTTGGGGGGGGGTCACAGGTGTCCAAGAATCAAAGGATAAAACAGAGACCGCCAGAGCTAGAAACAAAAAAATGTGAAGTTTGTTCTGGCAAGACAAGAATACCAGAGAAGAAATGTACCAGGTAGTTCTCTGTGGAGGAAAAGTGAGGGGGTTTTAAGGACTATGCCCAGCCAGTTAAAACAGGTCCCACTGCTCCCTGCTCACCAAAGTCTTCGCCTACTTCCAGTTAGGATCTGGGAATCTGGGGTCCCTCTAAGTTCACAATACTTTCTTTCTCATCCTCAGCCGGTTAGAACCAGCCATGATGGAGCACCTGTGTCAGTTTTGGTATCTCTAGGTTAAGCGTCGCTTTAAGTGGAAAAGTTTATTTTTATATGGGCTGAGTTACCCAATTTGCTTTGGAAAGTGGCCAACTATTCCACTGATACTGCCTGGGGGAGGCTGTATGGGTCAATCTTTCTCCTTACTGTCCGCCTGTTCTTGAGGGGAGCCCTCCGCTCTCTGACGCCAGTCCCAAGCTGGAGCAAGCCACTTACCTGGAGAACGCACATGCCAAAGGTGTTGCCCAGGATCTTGTGGGTTTCATTGTAGTAGCAGTAGCGGATGTTTGTGGCCGCCACGAAGAGTTCAAAGGGGTCATCTTGCTTTATGTTCAACGTCCCATTCTTTATTTTCTTCTGTAGCTGTCGCATTCTTTTCTTCCGATGACTGCAATCACCCACCCACCCCAGGAGAGCCAGTTAACCAGAGAGGCTAAAGGGGTGGGGGCAGGGGACAGGCTCACTGATCACCCATCAAGACCTTCAGAGCCAGAAGGAACTCAGCTATCGCAGGGCCAACCCCCTCCGTTTAAAAGTGAAGGAAAGAGTAGAGAGGTTAAGAGGATGGGCCCGGAGCCAGGGGTGAGTCTGTGGGGGAATCCTACTGTGCTGCCCTGGCACCTTCCACAGATTCTCATCTTCAAAAGAAGGGTTAACGAGAGTACCTAAACCTCCTATTTGGCTAGACCAGAGCTTGAAACCAACCTTGGTGGCCTCATTACCTTAGTCTCAAGCCAAAGCTTCTACTACACAGTACCGTTCCCCAGAAGACCTGGGAAAGGCAAGGTGGCTTTGAAATTTATCGTCAGGAATGAAAGAAGGACATCAGCTCTATTATTTTCACTATTTGGAAGAGTCCTCGGAGGTCGCAGCTCCCTAACAATCCCTGAAAAACTATGTCAGATAATCATTTCCTGGCATTTAATTAAGGAGCAGCAACTATAAATGGTATGGGACACTCAAAAGGCCCAACTTACCTGCTAAACCCCAGCTCTTTCTTATAACACCACAGCACTGAAGGCCGAGCCTTCACAGTTGCTTTGGACAACATGTGATGGAGTATGACCACCTGCCAAAGGAAAAAGTCACAGAATCTCATGGCCAAAAGAGACCTCAGAGACTGCCAGACCTCATTTTGACAGATCTGGAAAGTAAACAGAGGGCCAGGAGAGGGCAGTGCCCAGGCAGGGACTAGAAGCCCGGTCACACACTCTTAACCTTGCGCTCAGTCCACCCCTAGGTTCTCACAAGGCATTTTGTGTAGAGAAAAGCAGTCAAAGGGACCTTAATGTTATTATGTGCTGAAACCTCAGAGGAGCAGTAACAAGCTAACTGTGGGACAAGACACAAAGTCAGCCAGGAAGTGTTTACGAGGTATTACCTGGTCCTTTCCTCGGTCTCCGACTACAACAAACAAAGACCTTTGCCTTTCAGCAACTCCATTCTCAATGAGAATCCGGATTCGGTTATCTACTTTCTTCCGATGCATGGTGAAAGACTATCACTGAAAGAGAGAGAAAGGAAACACAACTGGACATGAACGCCAGATTCTGGGTGAGGAACATTAGCTGGCAGCCTCTTGGGGGACCAGGAGCTATGCTAGGCACGTTGGGAAGTATCATTTTACCTAACCCTCAAACTGCTCCCTAGGGAACATGTCAGTCTCATTTTTAAAATTAGGAAACTGAGGCTTGGGAGGCAAAGAAAATGTTTCCTCAGCATGGAAGTCAGAAGGGAAGCTGTATTTCATACTTCTATCAAGGAGTTTTTTTAAAAACTTGAAACAATGGTCCACAAAATAGAATGATTAAAATATATGATGGTATATTTGTGAGATAATAAGGCAGTTTTCAAAAAAGCTCCTTCAAAATCACTTTCAGAAATTATCTAAGGATATGGATAAAGATGCTTATGAGAAGACTGACATCACAGAACAAAGCATGATACCATCTTTTAAACACATGTACATAACATGAAGGGAAAAAAAAACCTGAAATAAAACACAAAAATGTAATTTTTGTGGATGGTGAGACTGCAGGTGGTTCTTATTTTGTTCTTTTGTTTTTTTAGAGTTTTGTTTTTTTTATTCATATGCATTACTAATAAAGTCAGAGAAAGGAAATCAATGAATGTTACTGTGATGAAATGTGTCCCACTGTCTCCTCAAAGGAGAGAAACCCGTACTGAAGCCTGTACAGACAGACCTTAAAGTTGGATTATGTACAATACGATAATGCATTATTACCACAATAAATACACCAAAGAAACATCAGGAATATCAATTATATTTCTACAACATTGAAGGAAGAATGACAGCCTACCTAGAAACTACAGAGCCTGCTGCATTCTAAATATAAAGTCCATTAATTGAACCTTAAGTGTGCCTTAACTGTCCTTCTACCCTCCAATCCAAATATGGATTTTAGAAGTCCTTTCTTAATATAAAACATTATGTTACAATCAATGGCTCCTTTTTTATGAGAAAAGGAGCAAGTATAAAGAATTCAAGTATTTTAAGGAAGGAATATGACAGGATTCACACTCAAATCTGCCCGACTCCAGAGCCTAAGCTCTTTCCAGCTCCCCACTCTGCCCAACTTGTCAGTTGAGTTAAGGCCACATAGAGATCACACACAAATCAATCAATAACTAATTAGTAGGGACTGCTTTTTGCTCTAGTTACTGTGGGAGCCCCAGAAACAATACCAGACAAGACTTGACTTCAAGGAGCTTTCATTCTCCTTGCAGAGAATATTCAAGAGAAAGAGATAAGGGACAATTTGTCTAAAGACAGATAAAACTAGACGCAAAAATAATAGTACAGCCAATAGTCTGATGAAGGTCTGAGATTACCCTGGGCTGGAATTGCCATGGAAGGCTTAACGTAGGAAGAGGGCCTTGGAAGGAAAAGAAAGAGAACTATTCTTCATTCACTCGTCTATTTGTCTAACAAGTAAACACAGCATCTATGTGCCAGTCACCACTCTAGATGCATTAGCAAATGAAACAAGTCCTGAATGTGACTCCTGAAAAAAACAGTATAAACGAACGAGCTTAGACAAACAAATGAAAGCATGGGAGGTTTAATGCCTAGCGCCAAAACCAGGAACCGTAGGCAAGCTCCGCGGAAAGCAAAAGTGTTGTCACCCCCCCCCCCCCACACACACACACCCAGACCCCCAGCTAGAGTTCCCCAGAAGGTGGAGATGGAGCCACGTAACCCCGGAGAGCGCTCGAGAAGCACGCGGAGAGTGGCCGCCAATCGGGGAAGAGGAGCCTGTCATCTAGGAGTGAGCGCCCGTGTGGGCCGGCAGTCGACGCGGGCCGAGCATTGGCAAGGATACAGAGCCTTCATCCTCGAGCCGGCCACCTCTGGTCCCAAGCAGGACACAGACACCGACCTTGGTACCCATCCCCAGCCATCCCGTCTTGGGTACCTGCACCCCGAACCCAGCGGATCCCAGCCAGCAGCCAAGCGGAAGCACGTGGGGAAACCCAATTACTCCAGAAGCCCAGAGGGAGCGGCGGGCTGCCCCTAGCGATGCCTGACCGCGCGCTCTCAGCGCTGGCCTCACTCCGCGACGCGCGTCCTGCTCAGGCACTGAAAGGCTCCATGTGCGCGAGCGCACTAACGGCGCGGTGCGGCCTGCGTGCGGGGACTTTCGGCAACCATGTCTCCGTGTGATGACGTCAGATGCATCGTAGGCGGAGCTGCAGCCTACGTGGCCAGCGCGGTTTTGGAATTTAGTCTCTGCTCCGAGTGGCACGGGTGCGATTTGCCTCTCGTATCAGAATCAAGATGCCCTGGCTCCGAGGGACAAAATAAGCGCTTGCCGCTGTGCTGGGGCGAACCCGGGTTACCAGACAGGCCCGGGGCAGCACACGGTAAGGGGGTCCAAGGCTCTTAGTGTTTATCCTAGTTATACGAGACGACCGACTCCAGGGATCTGTGCGTAATTTTACCCTTTTATTTAAATAACTTCCCATTTTAACGTGACAAAATGAGGAAACTCGATCAGCAGACCTGTTTTATTCACTTGATCTTCCACACCTGAAGAAAGGGCCCTGTAGACCTGTCGGAAACTCAGTATTTCTACCCACCGGTGCGGGTACTTTGTAAATTCCCTTTAGGCCTAAACTGGACATCAAATAATGGCGCTCTTCTGAAAATCAGCTCTGGGGCTCTGCTCTTGTTAAATACTTCTTCCTCCCGCCCAGCTCCCAGGCGAACTCGCCCAAGCATTTTACAAGCACCACCTACATATTCTTATACTACAAGAACCACCTGTATATTCTTATACATTGTCTTTGGGCCAGATTGTTGAACTTCAAGTAAACAAATTCCAACATTTCTTGAATACCTCAGATTCAAAATGTCTGAAGCTGAACTCCTTCCTCAAACCAAGACACTTCCAATTCCAGTGTAATCATCACTACTACCCATTTTTAGTCCAACACCCATCATTTTCATATTCGCTCAACAAATGTCAATATGCCAGACACCAGGGATAAAGTGACCAAAATGTTTTTCACTTATAAAGTTTGCGTAATTCTGGGTAAGCTTTAAGTGCTATTAAGAAAAAACTGTCCAATAAGTAAAGTAACTAAGGATATGTTTTAGTGGTGGACATGGAAGGCCTCTGAGCTGATGACACTGGAGCAAACACCTGAATTTAGAAAGAATGAACGTTAAGAATATTTGAGTGAAAAGCCTTTGCATGCTTGAAGATCGACTAGTGAGCAAGAACAAAACAGTAGGCAATTAGGCCAAATAATGAACGCACATAGACCAAAATTTAGGATTTAATTCTAGGTATGATGGGAAAACCAGTGGAGTTTGGGGAACCAGGAAGTGACAAAACCTGACTTGTCCACAAAAATCACTGCAGGATGATGAGTAGAAAGAACCATTATAAGCTACTGTGGTTACTTGCTCTAAGCAGGTAGTAGTGGTGGTCAGAAGTGTTAGATGATTCAGGATATATTTTCAAGGTAGAACTATGTGGATTTGGTTAAGGACTAGATCCAGGGTACAAAAGAAAGTATACCCAAAGTATTTGCCCTGAGCAAATGGATGAATGCAGGTTAATGAAGAGATTGATTTGGAACACTCAAGACTGGAGTAATTGGGGACCTAGGAATATTTAGGAGGAACTAAAATACTGATTGTATTCAAAGTCCTGGGATTAGATGGGATCGCCTAGGGAAGAATGTAGTTAGAGATCAGTCTCACGACTGAAGCCTGGATTACCCAGGAAAGGATACGGAGCACTAAGTGAGACAGGAAATATGTAGGATCCATTCACTACTGCCCTCCACTTTATGTTGTAGTCATTTCTCTCACGGGCTATTCCCAATAGACATCTCTCGCCCCATACAGATTGTTCTCAAAACTGCATTGTGTATTCTTTAAATGGCAATTTTGTTAGGTGACCCACTATCCTTTACCGCACTCCTGGCCCCATACACACACAGCTTAGAAACCTTAGTTTCCAACTGTTCTTAAGAGACAAAACATGGAACGTAACTGTAAAGCCACCTGTAGTACACTCTTTACCTGTTTTTCAGCCTCTAACTCTACTAAAACACATACTCCTACTTGAGCAGATAGCTTTCTCAGTCCTGGAAGAGTGTGCCTTTCTTTGGATATGCTCTCTTCTCCACTTCTCTAATTACTCCTCATCTTTCAAGTCTTAGTTCAATTATCCCTTTCAACGAAGTCTTTCCCAGTCATTTTGACTAGGTCATAATTTATCGCAGTCATGGCCTTTATAGCTGTCATCAACTCTGTTGCTCCATCACGGCATTTGCTACATTTTTGTGTCACGACATCATTATCTTTGAACAGACTGCTCAGTGAAAGCAGGAACCAGTGATTTTGTCACCACTGAATGCTTAGTGCTTGCCATTATGCTTGGCAAAGGGACACCCAAACTTGCCAAATAAAGCCTTAGTTCACTGGCTTAATACGGGGTCTCCCTAATATAAAGACAGTACTTAAAGCAGTACGTACAAGTAGGAATACACCAAGAACTGCCTTTACTATTTACTAGATGAGGTGGTCTTTTCACTGCCTACATTCAATGAGCTCCTGACTGAAAGAAGGTGGTGGTAGTCTAGACTCTTGAGAAGACAAGGCTACCAGAGAGATTTTCTGTTAAGGTTTTTCCTCTCCTCTCACAAGTAGCACTTCAGAGCTTTGCTGGATACTATACACAACTAACGCAGACTTCACTCAAGGACAGTAAGAAATCAGATTTTAATATTTAATCTATGTAATTTAAGACATTCACTATTCTTTTCCAGTATTTTATAGAAGTCAGAATGGGAAAAGGTATAGAGATAAGCCTTAACAACTTACTTTCATTTTCCTGATGGTTTGTCCTCCCCACTGACTGTACAGAAGGGATAAGCTTAAGGGCAATACTGATTCTTTGAATATAATTTATAGCCAAAGTGCTTAATAAGAACTCAAGTGGGATGAGGATCCAGGAACTTAAAAGATGAAATGAAGAAGGGTTTGAACTCAGTGCTTACCTGTATCTCAATCCCCTAATTAGATATATTACTGAAAATATAATGAACACTACAGATTTCCTAAGACACTCAGGAGGCTGAATACTCAACTGCTTCTACATTTTATGAATTGTCAACAGAGCACTTCAGTTATTGGGCCTTCTGCAAATAAACACATTCTCATGCCTCCTATAAGTGGAAAAGTCTCCCACATAACAGTTGCATATATAGGAGACAAAAGAACTGTAGAAGCTAACTGATAAAAAATGTTTCAAAGGATATTTGTTTTAATATCAAGATACAGTGATTGCAAAACTCTTCCATATTCAGTAGGGATATTAAGATCTAGAAATAGAACTGCTCTAACCAAGGTCATCAATGACATTCTACCTTAAAGCTCTAAAATAGAAGTCTCATTATCCACATGAGATGATTGATATTGTGCATTTACAAAAGTACTTTATATGTGGAGTCTTACTATACCAAGAAGCTACAGTGACACACGTGACAGTCATTTCCTTGCAACTCTGCTAAAATATGCATTTGACCAAACAAAAGGTCTTCTGCAGGTAGGACAAGTATTCACATATTATACAGAACACTTAGTACCAAGACTCAGATCTTAAACGGGACTTTTTAAAAAGTTCTCTGCCTCATAACAAGGCACCTCCTTTAAAAAATATAGTCTGAATTGAGACATAAAAGCTTTACATTTAGACTGTGATAGAATGCCAAAAAAAAAATTATACTATTTCAAAAAGAACGACTCTTTTAAAAACATACACAGAAATAATGAAACTACTAACACCTTTACACATTCACAACATCTACACTAATGCATAGAAGTTTGAAACCTAGAAAGCATTTCTCCCCCATCCCATCTCTGAACTGATTCATAGAGATCACTGTATGAAGAATCACTTATTTACTTCAATTTTAAATGTCATGAAATTATTTTCTACACAGATAGCAAATTTAGTTTTGTATATAGAAGGATTGTAAGCATACACATCTAGGGGTTACCCAGTAAACCATGAATATTTTATCTATTCCCCGTGAAATACAGCTAACATATGGTTGTGGTACATCCCAGGCAGATGTCATTTAAAGCACACAACGGGAGGTGCTAGCCAAAGAAATACTCATTTGTAAAAGTAAACGTATAACCCTTGCAATATGATGTACCACAACCACACATGAGAAAAGTCAGGAACTTATTTTATTTTAAAATAAACATTGGAGATACCCCCCCCCCCCATTCCCCACCACCCTACAAAAAAACTTTTGAATGTGGAATGTTCAACAGCCTATCCATTTTAGGTTACAAAACCAGCAAAAACTCCAGTTGTCTAACAATGAATGTTTGAGAATCGTTCTTTTGTTTTTGTTTTTCTTCAGTGGCTGAGCACCTACTGGAAAAATTCCTTAGCTAAAGGCTAATAAAACAAAATTCAATTTCTGCACAGAAAATACCATTAACTTAGTATTAGTAGCCTTTGCTGAAAAGATGGGATTAATTCTCCATGAAGTCAAAGTGGGATATGACAAGCAGCATTAAGTTCATAGGCACACAAAACTAGTGCTCAAACTGCTAGCACAAATTCCAACAGTACATAAATTACTAAACTGTCATCTCCATCAAACTTGTGACTCTCCCTATGCATCTAAGTGAAGGAATCGCCACTTTCAATATAAATGCCTCCATGAGAAAAAGATAGAATTCAATTAGGGTTAGACAAAAGATAAATGCAAGTACTACAGAAATAGCTGCTGGAGATAACCATAAAATTTGAAACACTAACAATGCATGGGGTGAACCACATAAGCTGCTAGCTGTTGAACACCAGTGTTTCAAGATACAACTTTTATAAACATGTTTTATTTGTTTTGCTTATACCATCAGAACTGAAACTACTGTCTGTCATCTCCCTAAAATAGGGAAATCAATCTAAAACACATACTGGTGCTTTTCAAAAGATAGCAATTTAAAAGGGTGGTAGCAGCAGGCATTTCATATCTTTTTCTTTTAAAAACCTTCAGGCTGCAGGAAAAACATGTGACC